ACTCATCCATCTGATTTAATAGTTAATTGTATTTTCCTCTTCTTTTTCTACCACTTTTCTATCTCTTTCTTTATTTTTCTCATTTTCTACTTATTTCCAGATTTTGTAGTTTCTTACTTTTGGTCACACGCTCTTGTCAGTTGTAGATATCTTCATCTACAGGTGTTTCAATTTATTTCCAGATGGAATCTACAGGTGTTTCTCACTTCTATAAACTACCCATTTAATTAAAACCTAATTTTGTAATTTACGTACAAAGAAACACACAACATGATAATTGACACCTTCGTTAGTTCGTTTGTTTTTTTTATATATACTAGGGATGTTTCCGCGCTACACGCGGATTGTTTTTATATAGATATTTGATTATTATTTAAGTTAAATTATTTTCACTTTAAGTTAATATTTTAAATATAATATTTAATTTTTAAAATTGTTTTGATATGATTATACATCAAAAATATTTTAATGTATTCAAAAAATGTATCATGATATAATTTTAAGAATTACCTACTTGATATATATTAAAATTAACTGTTAATCTAAAACTTAATATTTGTATATAAACTCACTGTTATTCACTACTAACTTTCAAAATATCATTAAAATTATTTTTGTTTTGATTAAATTTGATTATTATTGTTTCAATTAATTTAGATTTTTATTTTTATTTCAACTATGTTCGTATAGTGTTTTTATTTAATTAGCAATCTCAAATACAAACAACACTCAATGTTCTAATCTCTTATAAATCTATAAAATAACTATGATTCATATAAATAAATATAATATTTACATAGTATAAAAAATCACAATCATATTGATAAAATGCAATTTTGATTTGGTTTATGAAGTATACGTAAACTATAAAAAATATAGATGAATAAAGCAAGTAATACATATACAAATACAATTTCATACTAACTCATTATGTTAAATAAAGTATGTTGAGTTTCTCAAAACTCAAAAGATGTAAAATTTTTTGCTTGTAATTTAACTTAAACATTTTTTCTTAAACTACACATATAATTTTGATGAGCTTTTATAATTAAACTAATAATATATATTATATTATTTTTAAAGGAGTCTCTTAACCCAGTAAAAAAAACCATATTAGTTTTTCACTCAAGTTGGGTTTATAAGGAATTTTGTTGATGTGGATAATTAGAGATTTTTTTAGAAATTTTCTTCTACATAAAAATATGTATGTTATTTTTTCAAAAATACATTATTATTTAATTTAAAAATTTACTAACTTGATATATATAAAAATTAACTGTCATCTAAAACTTAATTTTTGTTTATAAACTGTTTAACTCATGTGTTGACATGTATCGCTTGTAGTAACTTGACTACCTTAAGCCAACTAAGACACACATTGAATAAATATCAGTGCATGAAATTCTTCTTTTGTCTATCATTTTCTGCAATGTAAATAGTAACGATTATCGAAATCTTCATATAGATAGATGCTTTGAAAAGCTTCCTATAATTTATGTTGTCTTGTTGGTTGCCATAAATCTAACGTACTATGATGTTTAATCTGTATGTTTCTAAAGGGTGAATGTTTTAGATTTTTATAATTTGTAAATGTTTTAAATTTTATTTTAAAAATTATTATTTTGTAATCTTGTTTCTATTAACTATTATTTAAGTTTTTTAGAGTAATTTATTGTCCAATATATTTACTATATTACAAAAAGGAGTATATATTAATGCTACAGATTTAAATAATATTTATTTTACTGATTTAGAAAATAATATTTAGTTTTATTTACTTATTCCTAATAACTATATTAACTTAGTGGTTCTATTTATTTATTTTATGTGTATTTCAAAAGATATAAAGTGAAATTGTTTTATTATTGTTATATTACAAACAAAAGAAGTATATATTGATGCTATAAATTTAAATGATGTTTATTTTACTGATTCAAAAAATGATATTTTAATTTTATTTATTTTTGTTGGTAACTATATTAATTTTAGTGACAAAAATGAGTATATATTAATGCTACAGATTTAAATGATATTTATTTTACTGATTAAAATGATATATAATTTTATTTAGTTTTTGCTAATAACTATATTAATTTAATGGTTCTATTTATTTAGTTTTTGCTAATAACTATATTAATTTAATGGTTCTATTTATTTATTTTATGTGTATTTCAAAAAATCTAAAGTGAGAATTTTTATTACTGTTAATTTGTTATATTACAAACAAAAGAGTATATATTGATGCTATAGATTTAATTAATATTTATTTTACTGATTCAAAAAATAATATTTTATTTTTATTTACTCTTGCATTTATCTATACTAATTTTGGTTATATTTATTTACTTTATGTGTATTTCAAAAAAATCTAAAGTGGGAATTTGTATTATTATTTTTTGCTGATGTGTCATATTTTTAGAGTAGTTTGAAAAGCTGAGGTGAATAGCTTAAGGAGCCCCAAATAGTTCCTTTTATTTTTTTGTTTATAAACTGTTTAACTCATGTGTTGACATGTATCGCTTGTAGTAACTTGACTACCTTAAGCCAACTAAGACACACATTGAATAAATATCAGTGCATGAAATTCTTCTTTTTTCTATCATTTTCTGCAATGTAAATAGTAACGATGATCGAAATCTCCATATAGATAGATGCTTTGAAAATCTTCCTATAATTTCTGTTATCTTGTTGGTTGCCATAAATCTAACGTACTATGATGTTTAATCTGTATGTTTCTAAAAGGTGAATGTTTTAGATTTTTATAATTTGTAAATGTTTTAAATTTTACTTTAAAAGTTATTATTTTGTAATCTCTTTTCTATTAACTATTATTTAAGTTTTTTAGAGCAATTTATTGTCCAATATATTCACTATATTACAAAAAGGAGTATATATTAATGCTACAGATTTAAATGATATTTATTTTACTGATTTAGAAAATAATATTTAGTTTTATTTACTTATTCCTAATAACTATATTAACTTAGTGGTTCTATTTATTTATTTTATGTGTATTTCAAAAGATATAATGTGAATTTTTTTATTATTGTTATATTACAAACAAAAGAAGTATATATTGATGCTATAAATTTAAATGATGTTTATTTTACTAATTCAAAAAATAATATTTTAATTTTATTTACTTTTGTTGGTAACTATATTAATTTTAGTGACAAAAATAAGTATATATTAATGCTACAGATTTAAATGATATTTATTTTACTGATTAAAATGATATATAGTTTTATTTAGTTTTTGCTAATAACTATATTAATTTAATGGTTCTATTTATTTATTTTATGTGTATTTCAAAAAATTTAAAGTGAAAATTTTTATTATTGTTAATTTGTTATATTACAAACAAAAGAGTATATATTGATGCTATAGATTTAAATAACATTTATTTTATTGATTCAAAAAATAATATTTTATTTTTATTTACTCTTGTATTTAATTATATTAATTTTGGTTCTATTTATTTACTTTATGTGTATTTCAAAAAAATCTAAAGTAGAAATTTGTATTATTAATTTTTGCTGATGTGTCATATTTTTAGAGTAGTTTGAAAAGCTGAGGTGGATAGCTTAAGGAGCCCCAAATAGTTCCTTTTATTTAGTATAGATTAAAATGTTAGTTCGTTTGGTTTTGACAAGTAGTAATGTTTTTTACACGAAACTTTTGATTAGCTAGTCTTTTTTTTGGTCGAACGGGTCAGATATTCTAAGCCTCACTGTTCTTGTTTTTAGCATTTAGTATAATTAAAATTATGCAACGATGTTTGATCTTCATATGTTTAGCGTCAAAAGTGGTTCAATTTTAATATGGCGTGGATCAAAACATAAAGTAAGTGAATATAGTTTTCTTGGTGGATATCAGAATAGTCGAACCGTATATCGAAAGTGAACATAAAGTAAGTGAATATAGTCTCTTTGGTAGATATCAGAATAGTCGAACCGTATACCGAAAGTGTAAAAACATTTTTTAAATAATTAGATCTACATATTGGTTTGGGGTATTGAAATAATTGGGTACCACGGTTTCGGACATTACAGATATGAACAAACTGTTAGGAAAAAAATATTATGACTTTGTAGGTACGAGGCAATTTTAGAACGTGTGTTTGTGGTGTATTAGATGTTGGAGGCATAATAATGGAGAAAGTAAAGTTAAATTGTAATTAAATAGAAAAGAGAATCCATTGAATCGTATCTTACCAAAGAAAGTCCAAATTTCTTTTTGTATAAATTCTTGAAAGACTATATATAAACCCATGCACATGCTCACTATCATCTCATTGAACCATGTGTATACCCTATTCTTGTCCTCCCTAATTACTCTAACTATCCCCTAAATCATTTCTTAATTCGATATTAACCGGATAAGCTCAACTACTTTGCTACTATTGCTTTAGCATGTACATCTCTGATCTCTAGCATCAGCATCTCTGATTGTTAGTTCAAAAACTTCCTACTAAATGTATGGTTACTCCTTTGTATCTTTAATCTGTATGTCCTAAAAAGAAAATATAGCCCTGCCTTTTAATTTGAATACCTTTGTTTTACCAAAAAAAATACTAAAAATTACGAGTTCACGACATCGCGTTTGAAAGAAAACGCTAAACGCAATAACTCACGCTCGTACACACATACACATGTCTCTCTAACAGACACAGCATCATTGGTCTCAAATCGCCAGCGAGTGAGTTTTTGGATTTTACTATTGGTCCTCGGCTTACTCTTTCTTTTTTCTGTCCTTTACAGTTTACCCTAACCTTTTTTATACGCATGAAGAGAGAGAGATTTGAATGGGTTTTTGAGTTTTGACTGATGTAAAATGTCATTAAACTAAATCGAGTTTATCCATTGATTTACATTATTACCCCTACCTTCAAACCGACCAATACATCTCCACATTTTTCAAGTAAATAACTTTTTTTTTCTTTGAATATAATTACAATTTCTTTTCTATAAATGCGTAGAATATGTCGCCTCGGAAGAAATGAAACATTAGATTTTTGACTTTTCTTCTTCTTCTACTTCTCTCTTCATTAAGACCAAAACCTTTTTTTGCTCCTCTTCATGCATGAACCCTAACTAAGTTCTTCTTATTCCTCTCCTCTCATCTCCCACAAGGTCACTTTTAGATCATTCTATGAACTCGATGAATAATAACTGGTTAGGTTTCTCTCTCTCTCCTTATGATCAAAATCACAACCGCACGGACGTCGACTCTTCCACCACCACAACCGCCGTAGATGTCGCCGGAGAGTATTGTTTCGATCTGACCGTTGCCTCCGAAGAGTCTTCAGCCGTTCAAACATCGTTTCCTTCTCCCTTTGGTGTCGTCCTCGATGCCTTCACCAGAGACAACAATAGTCACTCCCGAGGTTATTGTTTTTAGAATTATTAATTTGTTTATTTTATTTGGTTTTTGTTTATTTTTCCCTTCCTCTTCTTCCAATGCATAGAACAAAGACCAAGACTCACGCACGCACGTAGCCCTATTTTGTTTTTTGTTAGACCCTATTTATCGATTTCATCTCTTTTCAGATGTTCTACGAGTGGGTTTAATGTTTTGTTTCACATCACATGAATTAAAAATTTGTCAATTATATATGTGTATATGTAGGTATGTGGAATTATATAGATATATTAAATCAGATATACTTAAGAACAAAATTGTATTTTTTTGCCAAAAAAAAAATCATTTCGTATAGTATAGATCGGTGATGAAATCAAATTTCACAAACAATGATTAGTTACGGCTTTTTTCTCTATATAGATTGGGACATCAATGGTGGTGCATGCAATACCATCTACAATAATGACCAAAATGGACCCAAGCTTGAGAATTTCCTCGGCCGCACCACCACGATTTACAATACCAACGACAACGGTGGTGATGGAAGTAGTGGTTGTGGAGGAGACGGTGGTGATAGTGGCTCACTAGGCCTTTCGATGATAAAGACATGGCTGAGGAATCATCCGGTCGACAGTACTGAGCATCAAGACAATGGTAATGGTGCAAGAGGCTTGTCACTCTCTATGAATTCCTCTACTACTTGTGATAGCAACAACAATAACCACGATAATAGTGTCGTTGTCCAAGAGAAGACCGTTGTTGATGTTGTAGAAGCCGCACCGAAAAAAACTATTGAGAGTTTTGGACAAAGGACGTCTATATACCGCGGTGTTACAAGGTTCCTTTCATATACATGTAGTTCCTTTCGTCTCAAATGTCTCTTAAATCGTGATTTTCTAGGTAAAGTTTGGGACATTCTAATGGTTCGTTTAAGAGAGTGCTACGGAATGTTCCTTGTTATACTATTCTATAGACTTTAGTGAGAATGGGCTTATTATAAGTTTTTTTATAGAATAATACAGATATATATGGTTTCTTGATCAACTATGTTTGTATTAAATGTGTAGGCATCGGTGGACAGGAAGATATGAGGCACATTTATGGGATAATAGTTGCAAAAGAGAAGGTCAAACTCGCAAAGGAAGACAAGGTACATAATTATCAAACTTATATGTTAATTTGATACTTTTCCGTTTTATTTATTTTTGAACTAATATAGTGTTTCTTTTTTATGTGTTTGTAATCATTTGCACCTGGTGATTATCTTCTCAGTTTATTTGGGTAAGTACATGATTATAGTCGAATAAAACTATATAAGGGAATATATGATTAGTAATCTAATCTAATAAATGTAGTTAATCTGTTATCTGATAACGCAGGAGGTTATGACAAAGAAGATAAAGCAGCTAGGGCTTACGATTTAGCCGCACTTAAGTATTGGGGAACTACTACCACAACTAACTTCCCTGTAAGTTGATTAATCAATACAACACAAATTCATAACTTATAACCTATTTTTTTTTCTTTTTGTTTGCTGAATATTTGTTTATTAAACTATATTATATTATCAGTTGTCATGTTTATATCGTTACATTTATTACAATAAACTAGTAAAGTTGGTTTGATATAATATGCAGATGTGTGATTATGAGAAAGAGGTGGAAGAGATGAAGCACATGACGAGACAAGAATACGTTGCCTCTCTGCGCAGGTATATAATGAAACTGTTGAATTTATTGCATATGACATGTATCATACAACCCTTAATATATTACTTAAACTCATAAGGAGCGCAGATATTCTTTGTTAATACTATTTCGCAACTTACATAAATTAGCATTATACATGTTTAAATATGCAGGAAAAGTAGTGGTTTCTCTCGTGGTGCATCAATTTATCGAGGCGTAACAAGGTACTATAATTCGTATATAGTGAGATTAATAAAAACAACGTTTCAGTCCTTTTTTTGTTTGATGTATTTATAATTCTTCAAATGGAAATTTCTTCAATTGGGTCCAAAAGGCATCACCAACATGGAAGATGGCAAGCTAGAATCGGAAGAGTCGCCGGTAACAAAGACCTCTACTTGGGAACTTTTGGTAAATTAATTAATCTTCTCTTTGCTACACTTCACAATCAAATCTATAACCATAACTACACACTTGTCACATTTATCTAAGTAAAATGTACATATTATATATGAAGGAACACAAGAAGAGGCTGCGGAGGCATACGACATCGCAGCCATTAAATTCAGAGGATTAAGCGCAGTGACTAACTTCGACATGAGCAGATACAACGTCAAAGCAATCCTCGATAGCCCGAGTCTTCCTATCGGTAGCGCCGCGAAACGTCTCAAGGATGCTAACAATCCGGTTCCAAGTATGATGGCGAGTAGTAACGTTTTAGCGAGTGAAAACAATGCTAGCAGTTGGCAAAACGCTGCGCTTCAGCATCATCAGGGGATAGATTTGAGCTTATTGCAGCAACATCAAGAGAGGTACAATGGTTACTACAATGGAGGAAACTTGTCTTCGGAGAATGCTAGGGCTTGTTTTAAACAAGAGGAGGATCAGCAACATTTCTTGAGCAACTCGCCGAGCCTCATGAGTAATATCGATCATCATAGTTCTGCGTCGGATGATTCGGTTACTGTTTGTGGAAATGTCCTTGGTTATGGTGGTTATCACGGATTTGCAGTCCCGGTTGGTACATCGGTTAATTCTAATGCCTTCGTTGCTGCTGAGATTGCTTACAACGCAAGAAACCATTATTATTTTGCCCAGCAACAGCAGCAGATTCAGCAGCAGTCGCCGGAAGGTGATTTTCCGGTGGCGATGTCGAATAATGTTGGCTCTAATATGTACTATCATGGGGAAGGTGGTGGAGAAGGGGCTTCAACGTTTACAGTTTGGAACGACACTTAGAAAAATAATTTAAAGTCCTTTTGTTGTTTTGCTTTGTGTGTTGTGAACAGTTTGATTCTGTTTTTTTCTTTCTCTCTCTTATTTTTACTTTTTTGGGGGTAAGTTTCTTATGACTTATTTTAGTAGTTTTGATTATTTGGGTAAAACTTTCAGATTTAAGGATCAGTTATTTTCTTTTTTTTTGGTTAGTCTAGCCTAATATGGCAATTTAAAGAATTTAGGATGTGAGACTAATACTAAAATTACATATCTCATATTCATAAAGATTGTTTTGTTGTATGCAGAAAACTCACCTAAAGGATATGGAACGTAACTTGGCTTGCAATCAACTCACCAAACTCTTTATTCAAATTAGATTTTTACTAAAAACAATTAGTATGACGTTTAGTCCATCTCTTTTTATTGAATACCACGACCTTTTTTTTTTTTGGCATCCTTAAAAGTTTATAGAATATAAATTTAAAATTAATTTATACAAGGAGAGCTAATTACAAGTGGGAAAGTGATTAGGACAGTAAAATGAAAGAGACAGGAGAAGTGAAGCTTGAGGAAACCGCGACGATGAAAGGAAGACATATCAGCTAGCTGATGGATATGAGTGAGTTTGTTGCATGAAAACTAAAATTAATATAAAAATTTGATTTTTTAAATAATAATATAAAACGAAAGCTTAGCTTGAAGGCAATGGAGACTCTGCAACAAACTATGTACCATACAGAGAGAGAAACTCAAAAAAGGGTTTCATCATCTTCATTGATAAAAACCAATTGCTTCGTCTCACATTGAATGTCCAATCTCCGATTTGTTCTCTCACTTTCGACGACGTCGCTCGCTGCTAATCTCCGGCCGCCGCTATGGAAGCCAGCGCCGGTCTTGTCGCCGGTTCGCATAACCGTAACGAACTTGTTGTCATTCACAACCACGAAGAGGTAAACTTATGATTAATACAATAGTTAACCCATTTTAATTAACTAGAATGTAACAAAAAAAGAAATTGCTATACTGAGATTCATAAAGGCTAAAAGACTAAAGTTATAAAATCTTCAAAAAGATAAAATAGTGTTACTGATTTCTATTTGGAGTTAATAATTTTGTGCTAGTTGCAATAACTTTTCTTTAAAACTATAGTATTTTTGTTTATTTTAATTAAATTTAGTTGTCAAGATTAACTAACCACTTAAAAAATATTTAAAAAACTTAGAACTCGAATGTAACATGTTTTAGACTTTACAGATTTTTTTGTTGATGATTGTTTAACATCCTGTAATATTTTGTGCTATATATTTTCGGGTCGATTCCTGTAAACAATGGATCAAAACTCAAAAGAGTCTTCATGGAAACTGAACATTTTACATTTCTGGGTTATTATTACAGCCGAAGCCTCTGAAGAATCTAGATGGACAATTTTGTGAGATATGTGGAGATCAGATTGGTTTAACAGTTGAAGGAGACCTGTTCGTAGCTTGCAATGAGTGTGGTTTTCCGGCGTGCAGGCCTTGCTACGAGTACGAGAGAAGGGAAGGGACACAGAACTGTCCTCAGTGCAAGACTCGTTACAAGCGTCTCAGAGGTTTTTTTAATCTCCGCTCTTATGTTGTTCGACGAAACGCCTGAATGAAACAAAAAAAAGCAAACTTTTGTGCTGGGTTTTTAGTTTTAACTCAGAAAAATGATCTCTTTTTTTCTTGGTTTCTGAAGGGAGCCCAAGAGTGGAAGGAGATGAGGATGAAGAGGATATTGATGATATTGAGCACGAGTTTAACATCGAAGACGAACACGACAAGCAGAAGCATTCTGCTGAGGCCATGCTTTATGGGAAAATGAGCTATGGAAGAGGCCCTGAAGATGATGAGAACGGGAGATTCCCACCTGTTATAGCTGGTGGCCATAGCAGACATGTACAACAAATATATGCTTTAAAGGATTCTTTCTCGTATACGATCAACTTTGTGTAATTTGTGTAAATCTTTTGGATTTCTGCAGGAAAGTGGAGAATTCCCAGTTGGAGGAGGGTATGGGAATGGAGAACATGGAGTGTCCTCGCTTCATAAGCGTGTACACCCATATCCATCATCGGAAGCTGGTAAGTCTCTCTGCTTCATCGTCCTCTGTAACTTGCTGTAGCTTGTAGGCATTTATGAATCAGGAATGAATATAATACAAGCTAAAATCAAATGAAGCAGAGGTTTCTAACAGCACTAGTCTTTTTCATTTTGGTAGGGAGTGAGAGATGGGATGACAAGAAGGAAGGAGGATGGCGGGAAAGAATGGATGACTGGAAGCTTCAGCAAGGAAACCTTGGGCCAGAACCAGATGATGATCCTGAGATGGGACTGTAATGCCTCCACAAAACCTTTGTCTTATACATCAGTTTCATATGATTCGATTTTAATGCTTACAATCTTTTTGTGTGTTTTGTTTGGAAATGGCTGCAGGATCGACGAGGCGCGGCAGCCACTCTCGCGGAAAGTGCCCATTGCATCAAGCAAGATCAATCCATATCGGATGGTCATCGTTGCTAGGCTTGTGATTCTAGCAGTTTTTCTACGGTATAGGCTCTTGAACCCCGTGCACGATGCTCTGGGGTTATGGCTGACCTCTGTGATCTGTGAAATCTGGTTCGCCGTCTCTTGGATTCTTGATCAGTTCCCCAAGTGGTTTCCCATTGATCGTGAGACCTATCTAGATCGGCTCTCCCTCAGGTAAGATACTCAAATTCTCTAAGTAGGAGCCTTATAATCTATGAAGTTGGAGTTTTGATATAAATGTTATTTTGTTTATACAGATACGAGAGAGAAGGTGAACCAAATATGCTTGCCCCAGTAGATGTCTTTGTCAGTACGGTGGATCCGATGAAGGAGCCTCCCCTCGTCACATCCAACACTGTGCTGTCAATTTTGGCCATGGACTATCCAGTTGAGAAAATCTCCTGCTATGTCTCTGACGATGGTGCTTCAATGCTCACATTCGACTCTCTCGCGGAAACTGCTGAGTTTGCAAGAAAATGGGTTCCCTTCTGTAAGAAATTCGCCATAGAGCCACGGGCACCGGAGATGTACTTCACTCTGAAAATTGATTATCTCAAGGACAAAGTCCAGCCAACGTTCGTTAAGGAACGCCGAGCCATGAAGGTCAGTGTATATCACTTCAGATCTAGTTATATAACCACTCAGGTTTTCACTACTATCTAAACTCCATACGATAAATTGATTTCTGGCAGAGAGAGTATGAGGAGTTCAAGGTCAGAATCAATGCTCTCGTGGCGAAAGCCTCAAAGGTTCCCTTAGAAGGTTGGATCATGCCAGATGGAACGCCATGGCCAGGGAACAACACTAAGGACCATCCTGGTATGATCCAAGTCTTCCTCGGCCACAGCGGAGGATTTGATGTCGAAGGCCACGAGCTTCCTCGGCTTGTGTACGTGTCCCGTGAGAAACGGCCTGGTTTTCAGCACCACAAGAAAGCTGGTGCCATGAACGCCCTGGTACTTTTATATTTTATCTCTCTTGGACCAAACAACAAATTTATCTCTGAATGCTGGGCTTAACGTGACACAACTTTCTTTTTCTTTTCGATTCTTCTGTCAGGTTCGAGTAGCAGGTGTGCTCACAAATGCTCCTTTCATGTTGAACTTGGACTGTGATCACTATGTGAACAACAGCAAGGCCGTGAGGGAAGCAATGTGCTTTTTGATGGATCCTCAGATTGGAAAGAAAGTCTGCTATGTTCAGTTCCCTCAAAGGTTCGATGGTATTGACAGGCACGATCGTTACGCCAACAGAAACACAGTCTTCTTTGATGTAAGACGCAATCCACGTTTCTTTAACTTCTCGTCAATGAAATAGATAGACCCTCTTTCTTACACTCATGTGTTTGTTACAGATCAATATGAAAGGTCTAGATGGAATCCAAGGTCCAGTTTACGTTGGTACTGGTTGTGTTTTCAAACGACAAGCTCTGTATGGTTATGAACCGCCAAAAGGTCCTAAACGTCCGAAGATGATGAGCTGTGGTTGTTGTCCTTGTTTTGGGCGCCGGAGAAAGAGTAAGAAATTTGAGTCAAATGGCGACATAGCAGCCCTTGGAGGTAAATTATTACAATGAACTTATAAATCTTGAAGTAGATTTAGTTTATTTGGGAATGTTTCAGATCTGATAGTGTTTGTTTTGGCAGGAGCAGAGGGTGATAAGGAGCATTTGATGTCTGAGATGAACTTTGAGCAAAAGTTTGGGCAATCATCCATCTTCGTAACCTCGACTCTGATGGAAGAGGGTGGTGTTCCTCCGTCATCAAGTCCTGCAGTGCTTCTTAAGGAGGCAATCCATGTTATAAGCTGCGGTTATGAAGACAAGACTGAGTGGGGAACAGAGGTAATAATACTGAACCGTAATGTTGTACCTTCTCATTTGTGATTTAGAAACTCACCATTGTAACAAAAAACTTTTGTGTATCTCTGAAATGCAGCTGGGTTGGATCTATGGCTCTATCACTGAGGATATTTTGACGGGTTTCAAGATGCATTGCCGTGGCTGGAGATCTATATACTGCATGCCTAAGAGAGCTGCATTCAAAGGTTCAGCTCCTATTAACCTATCAGACAGGTTAAACCAGGTTTTGCGTTGGGCACTCGGGTCTGTTGAAATCTTTTTCAGCCGGCACAGCCCTCTCTGGTACGGCTACAAAGGAGGCAAACTCAAGTGGCTCGAGCGTTTCGCTTACGCCAACACCACAATCTACCCGTTCACATCTATACCACTCCTCGCCTACTGTATCCTTCCAGCCATCTGTCTCCTCACCGACAAATTCATCATGCCACCGGTTAGTAAAATCATTAGATAAAAAAGGCGTTTTAAAACCTGCGTTTAACTTTGCTAACTATACGTTTTACCCGAATCTCTTTTTTTCAGATAAGCACATTTGCTAGTCTCTTCTTCATCGCATTGTTCATGTCGATCATTGCAACGGGAATCTTGGAACTGAGATGGAGCGGAGTGAGCATTGAGGAATGGTGGAGAAACGAGCAATTTTGGGTCATTGGAGGAATTTCAGCTCATCTCTTTGCGGTCGTCCAAGGTCTTCTCAAAATCTTAGCAGGCATTGACACGAACTTCACAGTCACATCGAAGGCAACAGATGACGATGACTTTGGAGAACTTTACGCATTCAAATGGACAACTCTGCTTATCCCTCCAACAACTGTCCTGATCATAAACATTGTCGGCGTCGTTGCGGGCATCTCAGATGCTATTAACAACGGATATCAGTCTTGGGGACCTCTATTTGGTAAACTCTTCTTCTCCTTTTGGGTCATTGTTCATCTCTACCCGTTCCTCAAAGGTCTGATGGGAAGACAGAACAGAACACCAACCATTGTGGTGATCTGGTCAGTGTTGTTGGCATCTATCTTCTCTTTGCTTTGGGTCAGAATTGATCCTTTTGTGCTCAAGACCAAAGGACCTGACACATCCATGTGTGGCATCAACTGCTGAAGCAAAATCTTTTTTCTTTTCTTCTGAAACTTTTCTGTACTCTGTCCCGAGTGTTTACACTTCTCTTTTTGGATTGCATAATTGGATTTTGTTTATTGTATATTAACCAAACAGATCGATCTGGATTTATGGTGTAAGAGATTAATGCATTGTAAAACCAAACTCGAACAAATTTACTTTTTTGAGTTACAGCGAATATGCTTTACTGCCTGGGAAACCACACAAAAATCTTGAATGCAAGCTTTAAAAGAGAGAGCCTAAGACTTTTTTTTATACGTGGAAATTCACAAAAATAAAGAAACGACAACAAAAGTCTAAACACACTCACACGTGTCGTAAGAACTTCAAGTTGAATATCATTTGATCACATTAAAAACAAATTGAATTGCCTGAGTTTGTTTAGTAAAAGTCTCAGTCTCATTCTTTCGAAACACCAAGGATCCACTGGGAGAGATGAGTCAAATATGGCTCAGCCTGTGAGCCTTTGCTCAAAACTGGTCCTAAGCTCTGCAACTCTGAGTTGAATTCCTTCTCAAAATTGCTGGTAAAAGACGTAACAGACATATTAGTTCAATACCATTATATGAAGTTCGAAAAATTCTGAACACCAACTGCTTTTGTAGAGAGGTTGATAAAAAGGGGCCTTCAATATATGAAAGATCAGAGACAAAGTCTAAAAAACAGTTGCTTGTTATTACTTACAATATGGACTCTGTGACAGTTGCGTCTCTTATCATTGTCTTCTGCGGATGAGACTCGCTGTTGATGTCTATAGACGATGATATCAGCCACTGTGTGGCTGCGGCATATTGCAGGCACACTGATTTTAACTTCTCCATTTTCTGCAGCATCAGTATAAGACAAGTGTAAATATCGAAACACATCACAATATTGATACTGCATTCAGAATTTTTTACATGGAACATAACATTAAATGGAACAGTGACAAACCTTGAGGACATCAGGTAAAAGAAGCAAGCATCCTCTCAAACACTTATCAAGAAAGAAGTCGTGATGCTGTATCACCTGTAAAAATGATGGTACATTGTTCAATGAAGCACGTTTTCCCTACAACTAACAGAGCAGATCTCTACAGTTACCTCATCTACACTCCTTGTGGTTTGTAGTCTATCGTGCATCACATGCCAATTTGGTTCGAGAACCTGAAAATAAATCCCACATAAAAGCAAGCAAATGCAAGATTGAGAGAAGTTCAAAGAGCCAAAAAATGGGACTAGTTAAACACCAAAATCACTTCATAATTAATTATGTCTTTATATAATCCTGGTGTGATTTCTCTCAACTGTTCATTGATAGTGTACTTATTTCTCCTGAATCTTTAACCCACTATTTCAAGAACGCATATTTCAAAACTCACAGTTGCAATAAGTGCCTACATTTATAAGTATGATCCCTAAAGACTTCAGAGATATCTGAATTCTATATACTGTGAGCAATTCTAGAGACTTAGACCACAAAAACACAATGGAAAACAGGATCTACGTCTGGACAAACAAAATTTAACTAAATAAATCCAAAATCCATTATATTAGCAAACATAAAAGTTTAAAACAAACACAACAAAGAGAAAATTCACGACTTGCCTCGAATGTTAGATAATGTAGAAGGCTACTGATGAATTTTAGCATGCTACGACAGAGAAGCGATGATCTACGAATTCCTGTACCGTTAGAGTTCATTGATCGAATCCCCTGTACAGTTACATAGCAGTTTGTTAGAGAAGCAAATATATTACAAAGGTTTCGTAAGAACCAACAACAGATTCTCAAGCTGCCAATATATTAGTCCATACTTGATGTATCTGCCAAGCACCACAAAGCTGGCGTTCCACGTGTTTGCAATGAAAAAGAAAGCGGAAAATTAACTGGTACTTTGACAGGGCTTTCTTTGATATGACAATAGATAGTGGCCACTGAACCTGAAGCACAAAGCCACGATCAACATGTCAAACAATCGAGTAGCCAATCAAATATGCATTTGTAAATTACTTAGTAGCTAACTATAAACATCATTGATATTATATATGCAGTGGGTTGCTAATATATATCATGAAGAACAAAATACTTAGAAGCCAGATGCAAACAGGTAGTTGCAGACAAGGCAAGAAAGGAGCAGACCTTGTAGCTCAAGGAAAATGTTTCTAGACCAGTGATGCTCACTGGGTCCTCTTTACTACTGCTATCAGTGTCTTTGTGCATTCCCAAAGTCGTAAGCAATGAAGTTCGATCCTAAGATATTAACGCAAAGTGAGAAAAATTATGTACGAACTATGTAAATTGACCACATCCAGGAAAAGACAAATTGACTGCTCACCACACAACAAGTCAAGTCCTCATGGCGAGGATCTGCTGCAGCCGCTGTGGTACGTAGAGCAAGATCTAGCAAAGACTAATAATACACATACATTCAGATTACAGCAAACATATAGAGAGGTAGGTAGCAAGCTTTGTCTAATATTTTGATTGTGGTCTAGCGGGGCGAAAGTACCTGCAACTTTTCAACAGATATTTCATGGACCTTTTTGTTGAGCTCCTCTCGAGAAATGTCCATGAAATGTACCAAGAAATCACCCTGTAGTTCATTACATTGTTGTACCAAAGATAATTAGAAACTAAACAGCTGATAGGATATCAATGACAAAAGAAAACAATTCAACTACAAACTTTTCACATTGATAAAAGTATGATGATCTGAAAATGACTGGTTATCCATGAATAGAACCAGCGTACCTGGTCGAGAAGAAGATAGTGCTTTATAGATCGAAGCCTTCCAATGAGATCATACTGAATCATATGCTGACGGTCAGAGAGGTGTATTTACGAGGAATGACATCAAATAAGCAGTTCATAACACAATGTATTACCTTATCCTTGATGAGACTCACAAGCTCTTTACTGGCAAATTCGTGAGCAGCCTTTATGCATTCAAGATAATGATGATTTGAACCAAATATTGTTAACTTAGATCTCTCTGAAATGGGAACCTGCCAAAAATACCAGCCGATGTCATGTCCAATATCACAAACACTGTTAATTGTATTAGTTACAAGAAAAAATTCATCCACAATCATACCTGAACATTGTGTCCACATTCTCTCATAACGTTTAGATATTTCCCTGTGGTCAGTATCGTTGCAGCGATGTTTGCAAGGAAGCTAGGAATAGTCTCCTTGAGGCTGTATCTTTGGCTCCAATATTTAGCGGTCGAGTCCTGACTAAGGCTCTCCTGTAGGAAAAAACTTGAAATTGTAAGATCAAGCAATTGAAAATTGTGCAGGCGAGCTGAGCAAAATTCAAAGTACCTTTTTAAGAGACCTGTTCTCAGCAATGAAAAATTCCCCATACGGATCATCAATGATCCCTTCATAGACCCACCTTAAATAAACAATAATTCAAGTCAGATGACACATCTGAGAATACTATGAGCTATCTAGCAAATAGGGTAACCCATGTACAGATCTTTCAAAACAAAATACAACAAACTTAGACTACCTGAGCATTCCCACAAACAATAACAAAGGGGAAAAGGCAGAGACAGCACAATTCTTTCTGCTATGAATCTAGTTACGAGCAAGAAAGGAAGAGGCATGGGAAATCAACCTTTCCAATATGCTCAGGTATGCATTGCTTGCACACTCGGTCATTTTCTCTAACAGTGACCTCACTGAATTATCACCAGCCATCGCTTTAGCCTAGGCATGACAGTCTTCAAGATTAGGACATATAATAAGAAGAAAGCTCCAGCACAAAAAAAAAAATCCAAAAGGTATTTTTATGATCAGAGCAAGAATCTACCTGACTCTGCAAGAGATTAAGCACACCAGAACCCACAAAATGCTTTGCCGAAGCTTGCTGAATAACTGCAGCCAATGCGCGCATGGATCCCATCATGGGCTGAGAGATGCAAAAAAAAAAAAAAAAAAAAAAAATCAATCGGCATACTTTTACAGAACTCACAGCCTGAATTATCTGAAAAAGACAGACCTGACAGTAAAACCATAATCCTTGGATAGAAAGTCTTCCAAGTCGAAATTGATGTTCCAATTGCGCCACCATAGCTTGATAGTCCTGGTAAAAGAAAGGATGATCACTACTTTCAGCATCAGCAACAAATGTTGTCAAATTACCTCAGCGCTAACAGGAAATGATATCTCTCAATCCAATAAATAAACTAAAATAATTCTAAAATGAGAACTCCAAGTTCATGCTTTTAGTTAACGGACAAGATCCCCCAAAGTTGAGTATTTCTTTATCGAATCCAAATCCAGTTCGCAAAAGCTCCCACTTGAAACAGTAAGGGAAAGACACTAACTCAGCAAACAATGCATCGAAATTACCACAAAAGTAGCAACCTATATCACATACAAGAAGGAGTGCCCTGAGTGCAGCTGCGAATGCATGGTTAACTAGCCCGTTCCTGAACTGCGAGCTTGACTCCACAAATTGGTCAATCAGCAGAAAACACTCACATAAAGGGAATATTCTTTTTGCCAATTCCTGCAAAATTATTTGCACCCATCAGTACATAAGACCCAACTTGTTAATATCTGATAGCATCTCTAAATGACTAAATCCTTGCATCTCTAAATGAGTACTACTTGCCTGTAGTGCCAAATCCATTGATGGATCAACTTGGAAAGCTATACTATCCTCCTTCCCATGGAATCTTTTAATTGATATGTACCTCCCTTCAATTCCAACCAAAGCAGATAAGAGATCATCAATGACAATAAGTTCCTGCATGCCAAAAGGGATGGATTGGTTATTGAAATGGCCATTAAGAAAAAGGAATGACACCAAGTCTCTACCTAAATTAGCAAGTTCCACAATTATTTGCCTTAGATCAATCACCCTAGTCTATGCCACGAAATGGGAGAAGCCATCTTCATCTACAATTATGCAATCCAATAAAAAAAAAAAAAGCGACACACTTCCTTTGTAAGTTTGTAGCACAAGCCTCAACACAAACCTGCACCGGTGTATCATAGCAGCCAATTGCCTGCTCTACTCCAGAATTGCTGAAACCACACGAAGAGTAGAAAAACACACAAACATAAAGATCACTTCTTTTTTCTGGATGAAACAAGATGTACAAGTAAATTTTTAGCATATAATTTCAGAATACCTAGACGAATCTAACGGAAACCGCTTAGAATCAGCAAATTTGGAGCTTGCTCTTGTTTCCTGAGATAGTAAGCCGAAATTGAAATTTGATTCGAAAGATTAAAAAAAAAAAACCCAACTAAGAGATCGAGCACCTGGTGAAAGCGGCCAGTGAGAAACGGCCTGTCTTGGTTCCAACGAGGAGTCGTAGGGCACGAGATTGGCGTCATCGATTCCATTGCTTCGCTTCACTCTCTGCAACTCAAAGCTTTTTCGAACAGAAAAAACAAAAGTAGACGCAGATCATTTTCTGAACCGCTCCGGGTTTACTTAAACCGTAAACTCAGAGGAGTAAATCCCGGTTTGAGTGAATTTAGATATTTTTAAATCGTTGCTTCAATCAAATTCGAGACCCCAATTCAAAAATTTCACGGCGGATTACGCAACCGCGGGATGCGGAGCTGATGTGGGATCGGTACCGAAACAAAGTGAAATTCCTCAGATACAAATGATACATTCGAGCGTTTTGTCAAGTTTATGATCGATTTCGAGAAATGAAATTGGAACCAGAAGTTAGCTGAAGCTGAAATTTTAAAACCCTAGCACAAACCCGAAACAGTCTTAAAGAAGAACGGAAGGAGGAAGAAGAGTATCGAGAGTTAACAAACCTTAATAGATCTCGGCGCTGCGAGCTTCGCTGCCAGTGGGGTGTCGAACGTTGGCGAGTGAGTGAGAGGGATTTGGTCTCTCTCCGCGGCAAATTCCACTTTTGTATTTGTTTTCGATGCAAATTATTTTCTCTTTTGTTTTGCCAAATAGTATATATGAGAAAAGAAATTAAAAATAGAAAAAGGACAAAACTTTCCTTCTCTTCTGTGCTCCTCCAGCTTTTCAATTCAGAGAAATGATTATCTCTTTTCTATTTTATTGGGTACTAAAACGAATATCAAAGAAAAAGGAATCTCCCATTTTCTCTTCTCCTGGACCTGGAAACCATCTTTCGCCGCCGAGTTCATCTCTCTGCGGCGAAATCAATAAGGAATCTCCAGGTTTTTCACTTTGGAATCTTCTTCTGTATCCTTTTTATTATCATTATTTGTTCTTTTGGATTCAGTGTTTGATTCCTGAACGCCATTTTGGGGGGTTTTATCTTGAGTGATGCTTTAGGTTTTGAAATTCCTGGAGAAAATGAAAACTTTTGGGATTCGGATTTTAAGTATTTTGGTATTGATTAGGTGAAGGGGAAAAAGGATGACTTTGAGCAGAAAATCCGAGAAATTCTCTGCGGATTTTGTGATGGGAGGAGCAGCAGCCATTGTTGCCAAATCTGCAGCTGCTCCAATCGAAAGGGTTAAGCTTTTACTTCAGAATCAAGGGGAGATGGTCAAGACAGGACACCTCACCAGACCTTACACTGGTTTGGGTAATTGCTTCGTCAGAATCTTCAGAGAAGAAGGTGTTCTGTCCTTTTGGAGAGGAAATCAAGCCAATGTCGTACGATACTTCCCTACACAGGTACGATGCTTCTTCTCCTTTGCCATTTGATTAAGAGTGACTGAGTGTAGTTTGTGTTGGATTCTTATTGTCACTAAATTTAATTGCTCTTAGGCTTCCAACTTTGCATTTAAAGGTTACTTCAAGAACCTTCTCGGGTGTTCTAAAGAGAAGGACGGTTACTTGAAGTGGTTTGCTGGAAACGTAGCGTCTGGAAGCGCTGCTGGAGCAACGACTTCATTGTTTCTGTACCATCTCGATTACGCACGGACTCGTTTAGGCACTGATGCGAAGGAATCTTCAGTTAATGGCAAGAGACAGTTCAAAGGGATGATCGATGTGTACCGTAAGACTTTGTCAAGCGACGGCGTGAAAGGCCTTTACCGTGGATTTGGGGTGTCGATAGTAGGGATCACTCTTTACCGAGGAATGTATTTTGGGATGTATGATACCTTCAAGCCCATTGTTCTAGTCGGTTCCTTGGAGGTAATGTCATTTATATATATCTATGCCGTTGTAATTGCTTGCTTGCTTTACTCTGAGAGTAAACAATAGCTTAAAATGGTTATTTGATTATGTGACGCAGGGAAACTTCTTGGCTAGCTTTCTATTGGGTTGGAGCATTACTACCTCTGCAGGCGTCATTGCTTACCCTTTCGACACACTTAGGAGGAGAATGATGCTTACATCAGGACAGCCTGTGAAATACCGGAACGCCATTCACGCATTGAGAGAGATTATGAAATCCGAAGGGTTCTATGCGCTGTATAGAGGAGTTACTGCGAACATGCTTCTTGGAGTAGCAGGAGCAGGAGTGCTTGCAGGATACGATCAGCTTCACAGGATCGCTTATAAGCACTGGGCTCAGTAGTTTTGAAGCAGTGGAAGCTCATCCGAAGAAAGAAGAGGTCGGTAAACACCAAGAAGTCTCACTTACATACCAATGTGTTGTGTTAGTTAACAGAATCTCAGAATTCAGTAACCTGTTGAAGCAGCTGAAGATAGGGAAAAATTGTTGATAATTCTTGTGCAGCAGATACGTTGTTATTTTATTAATCCAATAAAAAGCCTCTTTGATCTTAGTATTGGAGCAAGTTTGTTTCATTCATCAGATACAGACACACAAAAAAAAGAGGAAAACTTGCAGCGTTCGTTCTTAAGCGAGAAGCCAGAAGTTTTTGTGGCGTTTGGTGGTGATTAAGTAACCGCCAAGCTTGCGGTTCTTGGGTTTAACCGCTATTGTCATGCAAGAAGCGTTTTCGAGACAGTATTTGAGAACGCCGCTGTGTCCACGGCGTCTCTTCCAAGCCCATCTCTTCAATAGCCTCCACACCGGAGGTTTTTTCTCTTGTCCAACCACTAAAAGACTCACTTGTTGTTTCTTTGCTTCTTCAACTATCTTACCTCCTTTCTCTTTGTCTTTTCCTTCTAGCCTCCTTATCTCCACTTCTATCTGCCACATACAGACAAGATCCACACCTCAACATTATGTCATCCCTTAAGAGTGTCTCTGCGTTTAAAACGCAAACTTCTATACAACATTTCGATTCCTTTATGAGAAATATTAGCAAAATTCAGAAGCGTAATGAAGAAACAACGCACATGTAAAAGTAAACTGAGAGTGAACTCACCCCGGGTCTCTTTGTTTGGCACAGTTTCTTCAACGTATGGACTAATTCATCAGTTTTCACCTCGCGTTTTCTGTTCTTCCTTTTGCCTAAAACCCAATCCGAAAAACATTAGAAACCAAACACTAAACAAGAATATATAGAAGAAGAAGAAGAAGAAGAAGAAGAGAAGAACCTTTTCTAAACGGCTGTGCAAAGTATAGCAGAAAAAGAGTGTCTCGTGGTTGTAAAGTGTGCGTTATAGCCCATTCTAAAGCTCCGGTAGAAGCAAGCGCTTTATCCACAACCACCATTACTCTGTTCCCGCCTTCCGCCTCCTCCTCCTTAAACGCCTCAACCGCTGCCACCGTCTCCTTCTTTCCTTCTCCGCCTCCATTGTCAACGCTCTTGCCATCATCTTGTTCTTTTTCCTCTTCTTCTTCTAATATTACTTTGACTGTTTCTTCTTCTTTGTCTTCAACATCTTCACTCTTGCTGTTTGCGCCTTTGTTTTCTTCTCCTTCGGATCCAGCATCATCGGCATTTTCGCCAAGAAACTCGATTCTTTGGTCTCTCTCTATGGAACTTGAATCCGGTTTGTACCTTATGGAAGGTGAGTTGATCCGGACTCGTCTTAGACTCAACTTGGCTGATTTCTTGAGCGATCTTGCCATGTTTTGTTACCAAAAACTCAAATAGAATATAGAGATTTTGCAACTCAGATCGAACCTTAACGTTGGCTCTATAAATGTTTGAGGGTATGCATACGTGAGGACAAATTTGAAAGAGGACGTGCGTGCCATTAAAGATGTTTGATTGTTAATGGTTCCACACGTTGCTATTGTCTTCTTTTAAAAGCTCTTATATGTTTTCTTTGTTGAATTAATTAATATTAGTTCAAGTTTATTTGATTTCACTATCGGGTGTTTATATTTTTAAAACGTATTCGAAATTGGACGTATGGATAAACTGTATCAGAATATCCAAAAGTTGATCCATTTTTTAGATTTTAAAAAATGTTAGAAATTTTGGTAGCACAATAGATTGTATAATAATCTAATCATTTATTCGAGGTGGCTCTAGTTTTTGTCGTGGTCAAAATCCTCCACCTTTTGTAGAAGCACAAATCCAATTTCGAATTGTTTTTCTTTGTTAACTACAAGTTCTGGTGGTGAACCTCAAGAATATTAGTCCAAATGAATAAGGAACAAAAGTGACATTAAAACGTTGTATTAATAAAATTCTGAACCGCATCAAACTTCTTAAGCTGGACATGGTCACTTTTACCTAACCAAACTGAACTTATAACTTTATTATTTTATCACATTTGAATTCAATTATTAGAGAGGGTTAAGTGATGAGTACTTGCTGCTAGTGACCAAATATATACACAGCCACTTTTACAAAAAAAATCGTTTTCTATCAAATTTAAGAAATTGTTTTATTCAAAAGAATCTAGTTTCCATTTTTAGTTTTTATCTATACATTAATTTCGTAATCTACATAAATGCCAAATTTGATCAAATTTGTATTGTTTTTTTATTGTCTCTAACTTATATTTTTCAATTTAATCGTAAAGCTAAAAATGATTAATAACTATTATAAGATCAAATATGTAATAATTTATTATTTGGTGCTATACAACCCAAAAGTTGCTAAGAATACATGGATACTTCGGTGATCATCTATTTTGTTAATATTCTTTGCTATAGGTAGTTTATAAAAAAAAAAAAAATCATAATAATTCACATGGCAAAAAATGAAGTTACTAACACACAAAATACAGAAACCAATTAAAACAACTGAAGAAAAATCATGCTAACTTTTACTAATAATAATAAGCAATTATGCAATCACATTAATCAATCTCATAATTATGTCTAGAAGTGAGTAAAACACAAATCAAATGCCTATATAAGAAGTAAAACTGAAAGTTAGAGCAAACCAAGAAAGATCTGTAAAAAATGGCGGATGAATCGGCAGCAACCACTCCACCGTCGATCGACGGCAACGTTCTCGTCGCTAAGTCACTAGCTCGTCTCGGCGTCACCCACATGTTCGGCGTCGTGGGGATCCCCGTCACGTCTCTGGCTAGCCGAGCCATGGCTCTTGGCATACGCTTCGTCGCCTTCCACAACGAGCAATCCGCCGGATACGCCGCTTCCGCCTACGGGTACCTCACGGGTCGACCCGGAATCCTTCTCACCGTTTCGGGCCCGGGCTGCGTTCACGGGCTCGCGGGTCTCTCCAACGCTTGGGCCAACACGTGGCCGATGGTGATGATCTCCGGTTCATGCGATCAGAGAGACGCCGGCCGTGGAGATTTCCAGGAGCTTGATCAGGTCGATGCGGTGAAAGCTTTCTCGAAATTATCGGAGAAAGCGAAGGATGTTCGCGAAATCCCCAATTGCGTCGCTAAGGTTCTGGATCGAGCCGTCGCGGGTCGACCCGGCGGGTGTTATCTGGATCTTCCATCTGATGTACTCCGCCAGAAAATTTCGGAATCGGAGGCGGAGAATCTGGTGGCTGAGGTCGAAAAATCTCGCAAACATGAACCAATCCAGGCTTCTCTGAAATCAGAGATCGAATCTGCGGTTTCGCTGCTGAGAAAAGCGGAGAGGCCACTGATCGTGTTCGGTAAAGGAGCGGCGTATTCGCGTGCAGAGGATGAGCTGAAGAAGCTGGTGGAACTTACCGGAATACCTTTCCTACCAACTCCGATGGGTAAAGGATTGTTACCGGACACACACGAGCTCTCGGCGACGGCGGCGAGGTCGCTAGCCATTGGGAAATGCGACGTCGCCTTGGTGGTCGGAGCTAGGCTTAACTGGCTTCTCCATTTCGGAGAGTCGCCGAAATGGTCTAAAGAAGTGAAATTTATATTGGTAGATATCTCTGAGGAGGAGATTGAGCTGAGGAAACCTCACTTGGGGATTGCTGGAGATGCCAAAACAGTGATTGGGTTGTTGAACAGAGAGATCAAAGACGATCCTTTTTGTCTCGGGAAGACTGATCCATGGGTGGAATCGATTTCCAAGAAGGCGAAAGAAAACGGCGAGAAGATGGAGGCACAGCTTGCGAAAGACGTGGTTCCTTTCAACTTCTTGACTCCTATGAGGATCATCAGAGACGCGATTTTGGCGGTGGAAGGACCGAGTCCTGTTGTGGTATCAGAAGGAGCGAATACAATGGATGTAGGAAGGTCGGTTCTGGTTCAGAAAGAGCCAAGGACAAGGCTTGATGCAGGAACTTGGGGAACAATGGGTGTTGGTTTAGGTTATTGTATCGCCGCTGCTGTTGCTTCTCCTGATCGGCTTGTTGTCGCGGTTGAAGGAGACTCTGGTTTCGGATTCAGCGCCATGGAAGTTGAGGTAAGTGACACATTACTTAATCCCATACTGTGGAACTGTCTCTTGTCTTGTTTTAAACTTCTGTCTTTGATGATGCAGACATTGGTTCGATACAATCTTGCTGTGGTGGTTATTGTCTTTAACAATGGTGGTGTCTATGGCGGTGATCGGAGGAGCCCTGAAGAGATCTCTGGTCCTCATAAAGATGATCCAGCACCAACGTCTTTTGTTCCTAATGCAGGCTATCACAAGCTTATTGAAGCCTTTGGAGGCAAAGGTTACGTTGTGGAAACACCCGATGAGCTTAAATCCGCTCTCGCTGAATCTTTCGCTGCAAGGAAACCCGCGGTGGTTAACGTTATCGTCGATCCTTTTGCTGGTGCTGAGAGTGGGAGATTACAGCACAAGAACTAAAAAGCTTGTGGAAAAATGTTGAAGTTTGTATTTGTGAACAAAACGATAAGCGTTTTTAGTTTGAAGTTTAATAACTATTGTAAACCGGATCATAACCGGTCCAATTCGATTTTAAACAAAGATTAAATAAAATACGTTTCCGGTTTAATTCCCTTGCTTTCTCCTTCGCTGAACAATAACCTAAAAGCTATTTATAATGCGCATGTTAGCCTTTAATGGAGTCTGTGAAGAACAGAGTTGCCTAGAAGACAGACAACATGAGACCAGGTATTCGATCATCTTCCCTCGATAAATTCTTCTATTTTCGATTGCTTACGTGAGATTGATGTGGGAATATGGTTTTTTTTTTTGTTTTATTCTAATTGATTTCAGAACTTCCTGGGTTTTATTACGACGAGGAGAAGAAGAAATATTTCGCCATCAAAGGTCCTATCCCTGGTTCGAAACCTTCTTCTTCCTCAAGAACGAAACAAAATCCCGAGCCAAAGCCTTTCCAGGTCGGTTACTTCAAATTTCGACTTCTTTCGAATTGTGTAAAGCTCGAGTTTTGCAGAATCAATGAAAAGCTCCCTCTCAGCTTCTTTAGGTCGTAGTTTCACTTGTTTGTGTAATTGGTGTATATGGACATTGCATCAGGAACCTAATTATCAGAAGAGAAACAAACTAAAAGCATTGAAGCTACTTTATTCCCGAGAGCTAAGTGGCTGTGTTATTCCTGTCAATAAGAAGAAATGCAACTTCAAGGAGGAGATCGAAAAGACACAAGCCTCTAATCCTGTGGTATTACTACTTATCTAACTTACCTTTCTCTTTCAAACTAAGATTACACCAGGCCGATTTGAAACATTTTCTTTCTTTCTCTGTTTGTGTAATGGTACTAATGCTTAGGCATGGAGATACGAATCAACGGAAAACATAGGCGATGCTGCTTTGAAACAGTTGGAGATTGATATACAAACATCTCAAGGCCTGGTCAGGAAAAGCATCCTAGTAGCAGGCAGTACTGGAGGCTGCTTGAGGTATGTTTCAAAAAAAAGTTTTGCAGATTTTATCTTTTTTCCATACTTTTATGTATTTAGTTTCATTCCAACCTATATGCTTTGGAAGTTTTCCCTTGCAGCATATTGAGAGTTTTCAGAGCTGGACAAGTACTCGTTGATGAGCCTGAAACTCAAGCTATAAATGGCGGAATCGAGTGCGATGCAGTTTCTGTTCTTCCTCGCAAGGCAAACGATGCAGAAGAAAGGGAAGCACCTAGGGTAATATGGAGACCTGCACGCTCTCATTTACAGGCGCTATCTAGTATATCGTCTATTCAGTTGATTAGAAGATATGATGCATCTGAAGATTCCCACTGCGTCAAGCGAGCATTGTATCCTTTGGATGTGTTTTAGCTTTTGCTTTTGCTTACTCTCTCATTTGTGAAATCTTGACACTAGAAAAACAGGATAACTACACTGGGATCAACTGGACGTGGGTCGATCTTTCTCTTAAATCTTGCTGAGGAACCGTACATACTCACTCTGCGAAGCCTCCAAGGGAATGTTTCCTCTGAGTGTACCATTTGGACAGCTGATTGCAATATAAGTGGGAGTCATGCAGCTATTGGTACACCTTCTCTTTCTCACTTTTGGTGTTATATTTTTGTGACACAGGGTTTTGCTTCATTACAGTTACACTAGAGAGCAAACTAACGCTAGAAGGAAATGCAAATAATGCCTTTTCCTGTAAATGTACTTGGTTCAGTAGTTTCAAGAATCACATGGAATTTATTAAAGGATTGTGATATTATAGGGTCCGACCTTGGAGCCGCTTTGGTTGATTTGGAAACAGGAGCAGGTTCATACTTTCTCCGAAGCAAAAGCGATGTGCTTGCGCTACAGTTTCATCAATCGGTAAAGTTCTCTTAATTCTAGGCACCACGATGCATCGTTTTCTGGTGGCTCAATACTGTTTCTGATCATTTAAGTCATCTCAAAGACACATGTATTTATGTTGTTTCTACTTCTTTTTCCCAGGGAAACATTGTTCAATGCGGGCTTAGAAATGGAGCCATTGTGTCCGTTGATCTACGTGAGAGACCAGGGAGACCGACTCCAACGCTCACTAAACACCATCTACGAAATCCATCATCGAGTAAAACCAGTCAAAATACTTTGAAAAAGGAATGGTTTGAGGTAATGCAAAGATCATATAACCGCTTTGTTTTTCATCTCTTTCTCTTGAGCTTTTGTCACAGCATTCTGGTGATAGTGTTCTCTAATTGTTAATTTTTGCAGCTGAAAGGAAACATAAATCCGTCTCGTGTAATCTATATGCCTTCATCTCTTACATGGTTAGTAAACGACTGGAACCAAATATGAAAAAGTCTCTTTTACCTATTTGTTTTTGTGATTCTATAATTCGCTCCTTCCTTGTCTAGCCTGAAGACACTGAAAACTTATGATCAGTACTTAATGGCAAGCTCCATGGATGGAACGGTGAGTACAGCTACTAGCTCTAGCTTCCTCATATACTTACTGATAGATTCTCAAGAGCATTTCAATCATCATCTAAAGGGCCAAACTTTTCTCTTTTCTTAGATCAAGCTATACGATCAACGGATGGTTAAGAGAGGGGTTGCTGTACAGACATATGAAGGACATGTAAATTCTCATACTCGCATCGAATTTGGCATTGACCCGTCAGAAAGATTTCTTATGTCAGGTAATAAAGAGGAGGAAGCCTTTGTTCTGAAAACATAACTGCTATGTTGGATGACTTCGATGAGATGATTGTGAGTTTTGTTTATCATTGGGTGTTTGATTCAGGCGGAGATGACTGCTATACTCGCATTTGGAGTATCAAATCTGGTCAACTTCTGTCTGAAAATAAATTCTCCAACACTGTCCCGTCGGTTGTGTTGTGGTCTGATGTTGAAAGTACTTACACACTGATCCTTCTCCTGCCTCTTGACTTGTTCTTTTCTTTTCTTTATCTGTAGTGGAATCAAAAACTTGTGATGTTGGATTTTCAGGGAAAACAGACTGGAACGATAGCATTGTTCACGGGGCATGGCTTGGATCACGCGAAGCAATATTCAGCATGTTTTAAGATGTTCACTAATATAAGATGTTGCTAGAAAGTTCATTTTGTCGCCTTGTAACAGTGATAGGATCAGTTGCTTTAGAATTGTAGAGAAGAAAAAAATGCTTCTTGGGTTCTCTTTTGCTCTTTCTTTCCATCTTCAATGCAAATGAGTTTTGGAAAACAGATAACGTTCAAACATAAATGTAATGCTCTTGGGAATCTTACACTGACACAAAAACTGATAACTCTATAAATGAAATGACAAATCTTTTCCACGTACCTGATATGATTATAGCTTCCACAATGAGGCCAATGTATGTATATATAAAATAAAGCTTCTTACATAGCAAAAAAAAAAGTGCCAGCGCAAGATCGTGTGAAAGTTGCTGTGAAGAACAATCAAATTCAAATGTACTCCAAGATTCAGTGGTCGCTGCGAATCCTAATCTTACAAGATTCTTGCTGCAGTATCAATCCGTTGACATCACACAGCAACAGTTCATCCCTCTATTAGATTTTGCAGAAAGAGGTCACCATATTACTTCGAAAACAACCTGCTTCTGTAGCCTCTTAAGCTTTGGTATCATCCGAAGGAACTTTGTTGAAGAATTTAGTGATTGAAGCTTGCTTTGGGCCTGCAGATTCCAACCTTGAACAAGCTTTTCCTTTCTTCTTTGGTTTACCTTTGATCTTCCTGCTCCTCTTCACGGGAGATATGCTGCTCTTCTGGGAACTACTCGTGCTCTTGAGTTTGTGAAACTGTGATGAATGACAAGTTTCAGTCTTCTCGGTTTTTTCGCAGCATAGAAACTCCAGTTTCGAAACAAGCTCTTCGTGGTTGCCCGAACTAAACCCATCTCTAGAAGTGAAAGATATAACAGCAGAGACTTGCTCGTAGAATTTTGTCTCGTGTTCGTAGAAATCATCAGCTATCTCGACAATGTTCCTCCATGTCCCTCTGATCATATCTGTTACTTGTTCCTGTGTAACCCATTTGGGCAAACAATTCCTAAGCTCTTCCACAATCTCTTCCTTACCACAAGTCAGGTTCAATGAAACCTTCTCCTCCAGAGGCTTCTGAGCAAGACTCTCATCACCCATTACCACAAGTCAGGTTTAAAACGTTGCCTTAGCTTTTCATTGATCTGAAACATTCAAAACAAAGACAATGTTTCACTTCTCCTAAATATATATGTCCACTTTACAAACTCCACAGGATCATGATTCTCAAACTTTTCCTAATAAACTTATTTCGTCCAGATTTCTATTAAAAACCCTATAATCGTCACCGATGTCCTTCCAAATACCAATACAACACTGGCTCATAGAAGAAAAATAGAAAAAAAAAAATCGAACCTTGCAATGGGGAAATTGTATCGTGATGATGACAATTGAAATCTTCGGCGAGAATCTTCCTTTGCTTTTGGTGGCAATCAGAAGATATAAGGCCTTAACCCGCCGATTATTAACTCCCAATACAGACGAACGGGGACGATCGGCGACGGCGTCGTGTCGAGGAGACCAAGGCGCACGTTAGTATAAATATATCCGGGTTTGTACTTTGTAATGTCAAAGAAAATAATTCAATTAGATTAATAGGGTAAATTAACTAAATGACTAGTATAAAAATATTTTATTAATGACGGTGCTATTTTTCACTAGATACTACACTCAATTTAATTATATTTGCATATCAAATCGAACAAAATATTTTATTTAGTTAATGAAAAAGTCCAATACCTTTTTTTACAGCATTTTAATAGTATGAATACTATAAATTAGATAAGGCATTTAAATATTGCAGCAAAATAAAAATTAACCGACATGACCAACACGACTGATTAGTGATTACACAATCTCTACGTGAAAATGACTCCTATAATTATATTAACTCACAGATTCGTATGTTATGTTCTTTGTTTCACGTCGTATGTGATGCATATGTTTGTCAATATAAATAACTTTATACCTATTAATTTTGAAATTAAGCATGATTCATCATCTTCATCGTTTATCTAATTATGACATCACAATTATTTGTAAAAGGGGAGAAAAAGGCAACATTCTTAGGTGTAAGTGGATTTGTCTGTTACAAACTAAACCATTTGTCTAGTTATTATAACCATGAGATTTATCTGTTATAAACAATGTATCATCATTTGTATAATTTGAGTTTGTATAATAGATATGGTCATAAAAATCGATAAGTTAATGCGTGATTGAACAATTGGAGTAGCTACAAATCACTGTTCATAGAAATGGACAAAAAAAGAAAAGAAGATCACATGTTCATTCCCGACTAATGTCTCTTTCTGTTCATTAATACCACAAAAGAGAAACCAGAAACCACTTGCGCAGAGCAGAGATGAAAACAATATTTAAAAGAAAAATATTAATGTTTGAAAAAATCAAGTTCCCATTTTTGTTTGATTTTTTTTTTTGTGTGCGTTAAGACAAAGATTCTTCAACTATGGTTTCTAACTTTGGCTTCTTAGATTTCGAAATCGAGATCCTATGCATAAACTCCGCCGCCGAAAACTCTTCAATGTCCTCTAAATTCAGCTTCGATCCCGCCGATATAACCCTAACACCATCTTCTTCCCCGTCCGGCGAAACCCTCCCGTTATGACAGTGTTTCACAGAGGTTACGGCGACGGAAGAATTATTTCCGATCCGACGGCGCTGTTTCTTAGCAGCTACGAATAACCGAGCCATATCCGACGCATTAGCTGCTGAGGTGGCACGCGTCATAGGGAAAGCGACGTAAACGTGGCAGCCTCTGATTTGAAGATCATCGTCGGCGGCTAACGGGTTAAATTTCCGGCCGATTTTTAACGACTTTGAGTCGACGAGGAAGAAGCTCGGAATCTCCATCATTAGCTCGGCGGCTTTTGTCGGCGCGTGAATATGACGCACTTCACCGTCAGGGAGAATCACTCTCGCCGCCGACGAAGAAGAAGAAGAAGAAGACGTTTTGCTTAACGCAGAAGAAACGTAGTTTCCCATAACGTGAAGAAAGATGGAAGTTATTATTGTTTGAGGGCAAAGAAGAAGAATCTCAAGGAAGTGTTTTAGGAGAGGATCCAAGAAGACGTAAGAGTATTTATACAAGAGAATGTTCGGAGAAAGAATAGTTATAGAATAATATTATATTTGTAGAAAATGTTATTTTTGTAAGGTGGAGATAGACAGTTGTGCATATACAGGTTGACATTATATGGTTGAATGCGCGTCTTTCCATTATATAATATTCAAATATATAGCCGTGTTAATTTTCACAAGTCTATGTATGACCATCGATCACTTTCTCTTGTAGTTTCTTATCACTTTACTCTACAAGAAGCCGAAAAAAGAGTTTTAACTTATAACTATTTGGAGAACAAAAAAAAAAAAGTTTGTTAAAATTTGTCAACAAAAGTTAGAAGAAGTTCTGAAACTAAAGTAAGAATACAAAAAAATAGATTGTTTTTTTATTTTCTATGTTTTAACTTTAACGGAAATTAGAAGAATAATAAGCTACATCAGAAAAAAAAAACTTATTTTAAAAGCTTTTGTGGTTTTTGGTTTTTCTTTCGATAGATTATAATGGGTTTTTTTTCATATAAACAGCTTAGTGACTTGAAGCTTATTAACTGAATTTGTAAACTAATATATATATTTCTATTAAAAAAAAAATATTTTAGCCTATTAACTGAACCAGCATACAGTTAACATTTTTGTTTTTCCGTCAGCTTTAGCTCAATCCAGAAAGGTTTTATTTCCCCTTAGATATAATCGAAACCACATCATATAAATATTAAACTAATATGTTTAACTATTGTAAACTAATGATGATTAATTGTCAATAATAAGTAAGTACTACGTGGATTTGAACCCGACTAGTTGACGATTGTAAGTTTGTAACAGTAATTATATTAACACGTTACATAAACCCGTATATTAATTAGATATCGTGATCTAATGATCGCTTCGACGAAAGATCAATTTACATCAAACCGATTAAACTAAGATTAAATGAAGATTTCACATCATACATACCACGTAATATGAGTGGAATAACCGGACGACGCTGAAAGTGTGGAAAGACGCAACATGGTATTATTACTTCCAGACTTTCCAGTTGTTATCTCACAAGTTTGAAATGATAAGATTAATATAAATCACTATACTAATGCGAAATTAACGGTAAATATATAAAATCATAAGGTATCATCCACTTAATATAAGATAAGTTGCGTGTGGGACCCCAACCCTTGTTTCCTTCGTACTTTCGATTTGGTGATTGCTCTACGGAACCTTTCATCTGATTTGGAGGATCCTTTGACTTACAGATGCGACTGTTCCCCTTATCCATGGGACTCATTGCTTCCATTAGCTTAACTTTTTATTAATTTTTTTTTATCACAAGCTTATATCAAAATTTTATGCTTATATCTTAATTATTTCTCCTTTTTCCCTGGATACCATTTCATATCTTTATTTTTTTTCAAAAAAACCATTGACTAGGTTGAAGTTTGACACAATATCTTATATGGTTTACCTTCATTATCTGGATTTAAAAGCATAAATTGCTTATAACTGAATGTTTCATTCTACTGACAGCAACAATTTCGTATATAAACAACATCAGCACACGTGTTCCCAATTAGACTCTTCTTCCTATGCTGAAGTCATATCTAAAAAAATTCAAAACATGTTACAAGAATCTCACAATACATGGACCATATTATGAATCTATTACAATTTACAAGTTTTCATAAGGAAAAATTTTTAAAAAGTTTTCATAAGGATATATATCGCGTAGACGAGATTATTGAGCAAGCACGCTTTTTTTTTTTACAGCTCTGTAGGAGGCCATTTGGCAGGAATTAATTTCCGCACGTTTACATAAATTGAATATTTGGACCGAAATTTAGAATTCCAAGAAGTTCAAGAAACGTGACTTAGTTAGTAGTGGCAATATATGTTTATTACAGCATCACACCAATTTTCTTATGCTGGGAAATTCAGTGCATGGATCTCTTGAAAAGAGGTACACGATCTTATGAAACAATTCATATTGTGCATACTTTCTGGGAGATTACGATGTTTTAATTTCTAACTATTTGTCTAAAGACGAAAAGCAATAATATTAAACGAAACATGTACTCGACTATAAAGATTCTCCTCCAACATTTCCCTTGAATCTGCCAAATTGTGTTGCCACTCGTGATTTTCCCCACTGAGTTTTGTGTGCCACGAGAGATCTTCCCAAAATTTCATGATTTTGGTCACTAGTGAATCAAAATTTAGAATTAATAGTAATAGTATATATATAACTAATTCATTTATTTTGACAACTCTGAAAAGTTACTAATTTGTAAACCACATCAGTGATTTTTTTGTGTGTGTACAAAATCTTTTTGTCAAAGGCTGTAAACTTCAAACCTAGTTTTATATATACATCCAAGCAGAGAAATGAAACATTACATTTACAGTATATGAAAATGACTTTTTAAGTGTTTTGATAATTAAGGAACAGAGCTTATATCACCTCCATAGGTGACGGACTCAAAAGAGTTACATCTCTTTCTGCATTTGGGCTACAAATATTATATCTACAGGCCTCTGTGCTATGGGCCGATTTTGAAATTCTTTAGCCCTTTAACTACACATTCCGATTCCTTACCTCAGTAGAAAGCATTTGTTATCTGCTCGGATTTCTGAAATCTTCGATATCCTTTTAACTCGCACAAATATACGACGTACAGAGCTATTACTGTTGGAATATTCCAAAATCAGCTCATCATATGGAACTCAACACTAATCAGCTTAATTCCAAATCTTTTTTTACTAGGAACCGCTAGCCTGAAAAATAGTGATCAGTTACGTTCAATAACAAGGTAGTACAACAATAACTGTAGCGAGAAAAAAGATCAAAAAATCACAACAAACATCAACTACATTAGGTCGTCAGAATAATAAAATCCAGTATACATGAGAGAATATACCAATAAGATACATAGTTCGAAATTATCATCACCCAAAGTCTCAATGTAAAAACCCTAATTAAAACCCCTATATAAACCCACACGTCATTTTCATCTCAAAAACCATCAAAACCCAATTCATTCATTTCACATATCTAAAGCCTCAAAACAGCTCCCCAAGAATCCAAAAAAAGATGAAGAATCTCGCAGTTCTTGTTGCTATGGTACTCTTCTCATGCTGTGTCACATCCCAAGTCACAGCGAGAGATTTGGAGTCAATGCCATCATTGCGTAACAAAAAGCTCGAGTGGTGGCACTACCATTACTACCCTTACTACCCTTACTTTCACCCCAAGCCACACTGGCCTCTCCCCTTTGCCGGAAAGGCCTTGCCGCCACTTCCCGCCGGCTACAACCACCACTTCCACCCAATTCCGTTCCATCCACCAGAGGTGGTCACCAAATGCTTATCTGATTGCAAGGAGGTGGAAACTTGTTTTGCAGATATCGCTAAAGCTTTCTTCACACGCAAACCCGTCATTGGATCGGAATGTTGCGCGTCGATACTGAAGATGAATGACGACTGTGAGAAGACTATCTTTGGAGCATACCATAGCCCTTTCTTCAACTGCTTTGTTAAGCTGCATTGTTCCACCAAAGCGGGATCTACCCCGTCTGCTCCTTCGCCGGCTTAGGGTTTTTTTTTTATTAGTTATTAGAATTACAATTCTTAATAGTTTTTTTTTCCTTCTCTCTTCCTCTTCTCAGTATGCTTTTACCACCTTTCTCTCCTAGGATTTAACGTTTTTTTTCCTTCTTAATAATAATATCAGTGCTTTTACTTGTGCTTTGTTGCCATGGTTTACTGTAATTTTGGATACAATGATCCATTAACCATTATTTTACCGATTAGATCCGGCCAGTTAACTTAACCATGACGGAGAAATCTAAACAAACAGTTTCGTGATCTTACCGGTGGAGAAGTATTCGGTCTCGGATTCGCCCATGGTTCGTTCCACGGAGAGAATTGGAGACTTTCTCGCTAAATTAGGTTTAGCTCAGGGATTGAATGTGTGTCTCCAAAGTCATATATGTCTTCATGTGTATATCCAAAGTCTATAGTACAATTTAACAAAAGTATACATATATGTCTTCAGGAATAATCGACGTAACAAAAAAAAATAGCTAATAATTAATATTCAGAACAGCTCACATAATTTTTTTTTATATATCTTTTCTTTTCTTTTCTCCAATTTTATCACTTATTAATTCCATTATATCTTATTATTTATTTGACTAAAACCTCTTACTTAATCAAAAAAATTAGTGACGTATACGTACATGAATTACGTTTTTCTCTTAATTACGATATTGTCGTTTTATATAATAGCAGTCCAATTGATTATCTAAATTGAAAATAATTAAAATATTACATAATATAGTCCGATAATCTTTACTACAACATCGGATGCCACCATATCGAAGAATATTCCATGATAGACATGTAATAATTCGAAGTTATCAAAACCCTGCTTAAACACCTATATAAACCCTAACGTTTTCACCTTTGTAAAACCATCCAAAAAAAGAAAAAGAAATCGTATTTTCTTCTTGTTTCACAAACTCAAAGCTCCAAAGAATCCAAAAATAAAAACAAGATGAAGAACGTCGTCGCACTTGTTCTTGCTATGATCCTCTTCTCAAGCTGTGTCACAACTAAAGTCACAGCAAGAGAACTGGAGTCAACTTCATCATTACGTAACGAAGAGCTCCAAACGTGGCATCACTACCCTCGCTTTCACCCTAGGCCACATTGGCCGTTCCATGTCCCCGGAAAAGCTTTCCCGCCGCTTCCTGCTCACCCAGTTCTGCCACCAGTAGTCACCCAATGCTTGTCTGATAGCAAGAATGTAAGAACATGTTTTGAGGACATCTCTAAGACTTTCTTCACCCGTAAAGCCGCTATTGGGTCGGAATGTTGCGGGGCGATCGAGAAGATGAACGAAGATTGTGAGACGACCGTCTTTGGATCTTTCCATAACCCTTTCTTCAACTGTTTTGTTAAGCTACATTGCTCCACCAAAGTTGGATCCTCTACTTCACCTGCTCCCTCGCCTGCTTTGGGATTTTAATTATTTATCAGAATTAGGGGTACTGATTTCTTAGGGGTTTTACTTATGTTTTGTTTTGTTTTTTTTTTTAATTTGGTCTTGCTTGAGAATGTTTCGGTTTAAAGTTTTTCTTTTTGATAACACTAATTAATAAAATTCTTTATTCTAAAATATATAGTTAACTTTTGGTTGCAATTCTTTAATCTTCTACGGAATCTATGATATTAATTATGATTATCTCTTGTAATTTGAGTTTTATATATTTTGTATCCGGATCTCGATTTCGCCATGTAGAACCGGAGTGCATGTGTTCCTTCTGTTTTTTTTTCTGAATAAAACACAACAATAAAAAGTACGTACTTTAATGGCAAATATTGATTTAGAATAATACAGCTTCCGATGTATTCTCCGTCTTTACTATAAACTTAAAAAGCAACCCACATAAAACATAAAAATTCAAATATGTAAGCTGTACTGATCAGTTTTTTTCATAATAACTTTTGACAAGAAAAGGGGATGACGTTGAATGAGATAAATTAACCACCTTTTATTTGAATCTTCGAGAAAATGCAGGAGGTATTGAGCCTTTTGAGGTTAATAAATCATCTAATCGAGCATTTTTTAGGGTCAACAGTCACTACTTACATTTTCAATTTTATAAATAATGAATAATGATGATGAACATGTCATATTGACTCTCTACGTTAGAAGGTGAAATTTTAGAAGACTTTGTGGTTATTTTAATAATTCATATTATTCAATTAATAATTTCTAAATATTTTATCTAAATCAATATTAATGAACATAAAATTTATATAAAACCAATTAAAATAATTTCAATATTCATGTAATTCAATCAAGAATTTGTAAAAACTAAATCAAATCAACTGTTATTGAAAATATTTTAAATAGTAGATTTTACAAAATATTGAGTACTTTTAAATAATTTGGTGGAGTTTGTTAGTTAAAAATATAGAAAATCAAATTTCATTATTTTAGATGGGATTTCATATAATTTTAATATCAAATCATATCAACTTCCCTAATCTACATAAAACCATCTAAATTTTTATTAAAACTCAAATCGTTTTAAATTCTATAAAACTTTAGGGGAGAGGGTGTATTGAAACTAAAATTTTAGAGAATTTGAAAAGAATTAAGTTCTAATGAAATTTTAGATGATTTTATGTGGATTAAGAAAGTTGATATGATTTGATATTAAAATTATATGAAATCTCACCTAAAACAATGTGATTTGGTTTTTTATATTTTTAAGTAACAAACTCCATCAAATCATTTAAAAGTACTCAATATTTTATAAAATCTACTATTTAAAATATTTCCAATAATAATAGATTTGTTTTAGTTTTTATAGATTCTTGATTGAATAACATAGATGTTAAAGTGATTCTAATTGATTTTATATGAATTTTATATTCAATAACATAGATTTTGGCATTAGTTGAATAACATGAAATTTTAAAACAACTAATTTTAAAACAACTACAAAATCTTCTAAAATTTCAGTTTCAATACAACCTACTTAGTTTCAATGTGATTTGGTTTTCTATATTTTTAAGTAACAAACTCCATCAAATCATTTAAAAGTACTCAATATTTTATAAAATCTACTATTTAAAATATTTCCAATAATAATAGATTTGTTTTAGTTTTTATAGATTCTTGATTGAATAACATAGATGTTAAAGTGATTCTAATTGATTTTATATGAATTTTATATTCAATAACATAGATTTTGGCATTAGTTGAATAACATGAAATTTTAAAACAACTAATTTTAAAACAACTACAAAATCTTCTAAAATTTCAGTTTCAATACAACCTACTTAGTTTCAATGTGATTTGGTTTTCTATATTTTTAAGTAACAAACTCCATCAAATCATTTAAAAGTACTCAATATTTTATAAAATCTACTATTTAAAATATTTCTAATAATAATAGATTTGTTTTAGTTTTTATAGATTTTTGATTGAATAACATAGATGTTAAAGTGATTCTAATTGATTTTATATGAATTTTATATTCAATAACATAGATTTTGGCATTAGTTGAATAACATGAAATTTTAAAACAACTAATTTTAAAACAACTACAAAATCTTCTAAAATTTCAGTTTCAATACAACCTACTTAGTTTCAATGTGATTTGGTTTTCTATATTTTTAAGTAACAAACTCCATCAAATCATTTAAAAGTACTCAATATTTTATAAAATCTACTATTTAAAATATTTCCAATAATAATAGATTTGTTTTAGTTTTTATAGATTCTTGATTGAATAACATAGATGTTAAAGTGATTCTAATTGATTTTATATGAATTTTATATTCAATAACATAGATTTTGGCATTAGTTGAATAACATGAAATTTTAAAACAACTAATTTTAAAACAATTACAAAATCTTCTAAAATTTCAGTTTCAATACAACCTACTTAGTCCCCCCCCCCTTTGTTTCCTATCATGAGTGACTAGTGCTTTACCTATTAAGGCGAAGTCAAGTCATGTCATATAGTCATATACCATGTACGTAAACATACAAAAGAAGGTCAAGTCATGAAACTTTGTTTGACTTTGCATTTAGGACAAGTTAAATGTTCTTGACCAAGAAAGGTTATGTATTTTCATTCGATAATCTTAATAACAAAAAGATATCTGTTAAATAACACCACGTATCAGAATATTCCACATTTCCACTATGGGACTATATTATTCAAATTAATAAAATCCCCATATTAGGTTGTAAAAAAAGGTTCCCATATAAAACCAAAAAAATCATGACAAACACAGGAAGTAACCCCTATTTAAACTCCCATCGTATCACCTTTAAACCAACCAAAACTAAAGCATAGGCATTGTTTCTTCTCATTTACACAAATTCAATTTTACAAAAACAAAATCCAAAGAAAATGAAGAACCTCACACTTTTTGTTGCTATAATTCTCTTTTCAAGCTGTGTCACATCTCAATTGGTTGATCCAAGAGATGATGAAGAGCTCGAATGGTCAGATTCGTTCTCGGCTATCCTCAAACACAACCCAAATCGACAATTGAAAAAATGCTTTTCCGACTACAGTAAGGTAACAAAATGTCTCGCTAAAACACTTAAACGAAAACCAACCAATGGTTATGTATGTTGCGCTGCGATCATAAAATTGCATGAAAATTGTAAGAATACGGTTTTTGGATCATTCCATAACCCTTTCATCATCAACTATGTAAATGACCATTGCTCTAACCAAAATGCTCCTACTCCGGATGTTCCTACTCCGGTTGCTCCTACTCCGATTACTCCTACTCCGGTTGCTCCTACTCCGGTTGCTCCCACTCCGGATGCTCCTACTCCGGATGCTGCTACTCCGGTTGCTCCTACTCCGGATGCTCCTACTCCAGTTGCTCCTACTCCGGATGCTCCTACTCCGGATGCTCTTACTCCGGATGCTTCTACTCCGGATGCTCATATTCCGGATGCTCCTACTCCAGATATTCCTACTTCGGATGCTCTTACTCCGGTTGGTCCTACTCCGGATGCTCCTACTCCGGATGCTCCTACTCCAGATGCTCCTACTCCGGATGCTCCTACTCCGGATATTCCTACTCCGGATGCTTCTACTCCGGATACTCTTACTCCGGATGCTCCTACTCCAGATGCTCCTACTCTAACATATTAATATTTTAAATAAATTTATATATTATCAATCAAAAGAGTTTATTACTACATTTTACAATTTTATAATTTATTACCAGAGAATAATAATAAAATTTAGATTTGATTTTGGTTTCTAAATTGTCCATACAACAACAATAACAACAAAATGAACTCTATAGTTTTATATTTAACGTATTAATATCTTAAATAGATATATATTTTATCAATCAAAAGATTTTCTTACTGCATTTTGCAATTTTGTAACTTATAGCCACACATTATGAAATGATAATAAAAGTTCAGATTTGATTTTAGTTTCTAAATTGTCCCTACAACAATAATAACAACAAAACGAATTATATAGTTTTATATGACGCTAGATCTAATTGAATTTTCAAACTATAACATTTTTTTCTTGTCAAGGTTTATTATAGGCAAAAAGTGGTGATATACATATTATCAGTAAATCTTATATATCTCTTGAAATGGTATAATAAAAATCACAATAATGTTAAATTCTATCTAGTTGTGTCGGTCATTATGATTTCATCTCAATTTAATAAAATTTACTTCAGTTGAAAACTGAAAAGCTAAAATGGTTATAAAGAAATATATATTATATACTATTAATGAAATTATTAGAGCATCCGTATCGGTGATTTCTTCATAAAATTTTTTTAATATTTTTTCAAATAAATTAGACATCGCCACGTTATGGAGAGACGCTCGTTCCATCCCAGAGACGACTCTATTTTTTTATTCTCGTCACGTCATTTTTTTTTCTTTAGTTCTTTAGAACTCTACTGAAACTGACCGATATGAATGCTCTTAGAGCAACCCCAATGGTAACACCACTATAAAGGGTCTTAATGATTAATTATTAATATTTTGTATACTTTATATATATAAGACACTTAGTAGAATTTTGTTGTTTTTAAGCATACAATGGAGACACTTTGATGAGTGTCTTAAAAAAAAAATTAATAAATTTATGTAAAATTTATTTTAACAAATTTTAAATCATAATATATTTTCACAAAGGTAATACATATAAACATATAAATTATAGAAATGCAATTCAATGCTTGCTGAGAAGCCTTCTCTTTTAGAATTCCAGTGCTTGTTGCTAGGCATGAGATTTCGGATACTTCGGATAATTTAAATCGGATAATTTGGATAATCAGATAGTTTGTATTACTGAAATTCTACCGAAAATAACCGAAGTTTCTTATCTGAAACTATCCAAACTTTTAATTTGTTTTTTTAAATTAGGTTAAATTCGGATAGATTCGGGTTATTTCGGATATTTTCGGATAGTTTGAATATTCGATTCGGTATAATTTGATATATTTTGGTATAATTTGTTTTTCTTAATAAAAAAAAAATTTGGGTAACCGTTCGATTCAGCAAACCGAACCGAACTGAACACTTTAGAGAGAAAGAGGAAGACAGAAACGAAAAATAAAAATAAAATACTTTTTTGTCAATTTTCCCTATCCACTTATAATCTACCACGTGTCCATTCTTAAATAAGAACAAAGATTCTAATTTAGACACTAGTCTAAAAGTTAAGACACTCCTTATAATTTTTTTATTCAATTATATTCTTAAGAACATTTATTAGATCCCTTGGTGTTACCATTGGGGTTGGTCTTAGATCTCTGACTTCATTGATATATACATAATAAAATGAAATGAAACATTTCCATATATAGAATGGACGATGAAACAAGATCACACACTTATTTCATAACGTTGCAATAATATCAAACGATACTAGAAATCTAAATGAAATGAAACTTGGTTCAACAATAAAGGAAATTAAACTCAGAATCTCCAAATCAATGCAAATGCATTATTAATAAAGCAAATCCAAACATTTTTATTATTAACTCAATTAACAGATACCACTCGTCTTCTTCCTGTCGGAGACAAACTTCTTCCAGCCATTGATGATCTCTCTCTGCTTCTCCATATCGCTTTTCTTAACCGTCACCATCAAGTTGTCACCGTTAGCTTCACTCTTCTCCTCTCCTAGTGAAATTTTGTGGATCACTCGCGAAGGAAGCTCATCAAGCTCACGCATCACCTTCTCAATATCGATCACAAGTCTCTCTGCGAGTGTTCTTGAGAAATCTTCTCTGATGACCACACGGAGTACAGTTATGTGTTGTGCGTTTGGCGGCATTGTATACGCCGGCACAATCCATCCGTACCTACATTTCAAACATGTTAATTAATATAGATTCATCATACATATATCTAACTACTTATTAATTATATGACAACTAACCTGCGAAGCATGTCGGAGACTTCGAACTCAGTGTGAGAGCTGTTATCTTTCAAGGAGAAAGCGACAAGTGGCACTCCCTCGTCCTTTGATACGATGTTGAACCTTTCTGTCTTCTCGAGTCCTTCTCTTAGCACGATCATATTCTCTCTGCAATTCTCCATCACATTTCTATAACCCTGTTTGATACATTTTAACAGTCAAGCAGTGCCTAATTAATTAGCATAATATATTGTTATAATCTTGGACCCACTCACCTCATGGCCCAATCGGATAAGTTGGTAGTATTGAGCTATGACCTGACTCGAACCTGCGTTTATTGATAGAAGAACATCAAATCAATAAACTATAGAAAAAGATGAGAGTAATTTGCAGGTTCTTGAATACGCGCACTACTAAATAATACTGAAGCATGAAGTGACAAAACAAACAACAACTAGGAAAATTGTAAACGTTAGGGGCTAAATGTATAAATACAAAAACATTTTGTCCGCTATAAACATGTCCAGAATTTTAAACTATATGAGAAAAATTCAGACTTTTTCGAACGTCTAAGTTACGTTTTCCCACTATTCCGTTTTCCTACTACCGATTTCTTAAAATACTCAAAGCACGAAAAAAGCGGAAAAAATTTTAACTTCTAACTTTGATTAGTGATGATCATCTACTACGAACTTTTAAATCACGAAAATTTTAAATAAATAAAAACGGAGTTATTCAGGTCTAATTAGATCTTTAGATCATGGTTAATTAAAAGTCAAACAAAAAATTGGTCAAAAAATACGGACTAATTTAAAATAGAAAGATATTTAACCTCCATTACTTTGATATAGTTTATTTAGATCTTTAGATCATGGTTAGTAAAAGTCAAACAAAGAAAAGATTAGGACTAGCAAGAAAAATAACCTATAAGGCTATAATTAAGTAGATTACCTTTGGAGAAATTGAGAGTGAACGTGGGTTGGTCAGCACCAAGATAGTTGATATGGAAGATGAGCTCCTCAGGCAAATCCTCTTTGTTTCTCCAAACCACCCAACCAATCCCTGCGTACACAAGTCCATACTTGTGTCCACTCACATTTATACTCTTCACCAAAGGCAATCTAAAGTCCCATTCCAATTCCGGATACAGAAACGGTGCAATGAATCCTCCACTTGCCGCATCCACATGGATCGGTGTATCCCATCTATCAAAAATATGCACATATATGTGTTAGTTGTCTTGATTAGTGTAATCAATCCATTGATAGTGGTATGTATTAAGATAATTATTTAATCACCCGGTTTCTTTGTTCTTTTGGACCAAGAGATCGTTCACGAGTTTAACATCTTCGAATTCTCCATTAAGAGTGGAACCAAGAATGGCCGCAACACATATAGTGTTCTCATCGACCATCTCAACAGCTTGCTCCGGGTCCATCACGTAATATCCTTCACGAAGTTTCACTTCCTTAAGCTCAACCTCAAAGTACCTTGCGAATTTCTCCCAGCACACCTAACATTTTGATTCGTTATAAGAATTTAATCAAAAAGCACAAATTATTTATTTATAGTTATTAGACTTGAACAATCTTTAGTTACTTGAACATTGGCTCCGGTGACAATGTTGGGTTTGTCGAAGGGTTTGCCTTCTGCTTTACGCTTGTTCTGCCATTTACGTTTGAAAGCCAAACCGGCCAACATTATGGCCTCCGATGATCCAACGGTTCCTACTCCGACGGCTGTCTCCGACTCTCCTAACGGTGCATTGAATAGATGTGCAATCATGTTCACACATCGGTTCTGTTTTTTTAGATAAAAAAAAAAACTAACTAGTTTATTATCTTAGTGAATAACAACGTCACATATCTTTAGAATAGTACTAAAATAATACACACCCAAAGTGGTAAAGATTGAAGTCATACGAATTATTAGTGCTATTCTATATAATGACCAAAACAAAAAAACTACGACCAGATACTAATTTAAAAATAATGAAGATTTTTTTTTGGGCAAAAAAAAATAATGAAGAATATGTTAGACAATTTGGCCCTACTCTGTTTTTCTATATAGTATTTATTAGGCTTTCAATTTGAAATCAGAGGAATCTATTAATATGAGAGTATAACCGAAATTTTAATGTGTTCTTTTTATATACTTTCATGACGGCCTGATCAAACTATATCATTAAAGTTTTGTTTGTCCGGCTATCCAATTAAATATATTAGTAGGACCAAGATTTAAATTTAAAGTAAACCCTCAGTAATAATTCAACCACGAACACAATGGCTGGTATTTGCAAAATAAAGTAGTACTAATAGCACAAATGAATCCATTTTTTTTTAACACAACTATAGGAAAAGTCAAGAAAGTTAGTGTATACATAGAAAAAGATTCAATAATAAAGCATCTTACTAATTAATGATACAAACGAATAATAGTATCAGATATTAATATAACCAACGACTTTTAAAATACACCCCCCCTAATCACCATATTATAATCCCAAATTGATAATCACAGCCATAGAAAAAAACCACCAGTCTTTTTGATAGAAAATGTCAACCTGTAGTTGGTATACGTAATTTCTACATATAAAAACAAGATATAATAGCAAAGCATCTTATGAATAATACTAATTTATATATGGTATAAGCAGAAACCCAAAAACATCAACCAGTATATATATATACACCATATAATCTCGATCCGGAATATCGATGGCCGGAACAAACATTTGAGCTTAACGTAACTCGGCCATATACTATCACAAAGTCGGTTTACGAATATTTTCTAAAGATCCTATTAAAATTTCTCTCCATACATAAGCCGAGATATAATTATGTTTAAACTCGTTTTTGAGACAAGCATGACTTATAAATATGATTAAATTACCTGGAGTTCGGTGGTAACGGGGTACTCGTCCATGTCGACGTAGTTCTTGTTAATGGAGGCCATGATGAGTTTATCACACTCAGGCTCCATCCACGTCGTCACGAAGGAGGCCAAGTTTAGCCTCGGGTTGCCGTCAAGCATCAGCTCGTCGTTTATTATCTGATACGCCGCTTCTTTTGGAATCGAGTTTTCCGGCATCTTGAACCTGATATTTAATTTACGTTTTTAATCCCCCATTTTAATCGATTTTACACATATATATGAAACTGACCAAGATTGTTACATTGTTAGTAATATGTTACCTAGGAAGAGATGTTCGGACGTATCGTGATGCGAATGTGGAGTGGACGGAGACATCGGACTCCGATGCGGCGTGGGAGAGCACCATCACGGCGATGAGAGAGAGGATGACACGAGATGATGATGAGAGAGAAAAAGTGAGATCAAGGAAAGTGATGAATGGTATTGGATGAAGATGATAAACACCTTATGAGGGGGTTTTATATCAATAATAAATGATATTGAATGGTTACCATGTGGGTTACTTGGGTAATTAATAGTAATATTTTGAAAAAGAAAAAGAGCTTTTGGAAATTTCCTTTTTTCGGAATTTTTCTTTACCAAGGCCTATACTTTGTTTGAATTAGCAGAACAATACCTCTAGTTTCGTTTTAGTGTTAGGTCCCCAATATCTAGTTTGGGAAGTTTTTTAATTAATTTTATTTCAAAAACTAAATTAGAATCAAAAGGGTCCGGAAACGCATGAAATCACGTTACAAACACGATTATTTTTTTTATTTTTTTTCCTTATCAACGATTTCTTAAATTTGATTGGAAGCACGCTGAAAATATTCAATGCTTTTTTTTGGTGTAGAGAAATTATTCAATGCTTGCCTAAGTAAAATTATGAGTAGGAATTGGGATCCGAGGAAAGAAGAAGATTTTTATGCATACAAATGTAGTAAATAAATGCTTTCTCGAAAAAATTTCTATTTATTGCCAAAATTTCTTTGAAGTTATGTTTCTGTACTATTGTTTAAATTAGCGGAATATCTAGTTTTGTGTTAGGACGCGGGAGATGACGCGTATGGACCACACGGTATATGAATTTTTTTTTTTTTTTAATCTTCCCATATCTTATCACGATAGTATCTTACATGCGAGTTAATTATCATATTTCATAATTTACTACATAAGGTAGTGTCGTAGTGCATAAGTTGATGTTTGTCATAACATATCTACTGCTATATGATACATTGATATGATTACTGTCCAACTAAGAACAAACTGTAAAGATACTGTTATTTAATTAGTCTCTATCATTGAGTCCTAATGGATCACATACTTTACTAGTTTTACATCTTTCATTATAAAATAACGGGTGAGTAGCAATCGAAATTTGATGGACAATTAATTATTTAATTTATCTTCTTTGGATCATTTGATGGACAGTTAATAAGTTTGGAAGCACTAATGGAAACAAATGAAGTGGCTGTTAGATCATCGAAATAACTCAATTGCCTTTTAAACCGATTGTTCAGAATTAGTGGCTAACGGTATCATCATTCATGATTCATCATCTCAGCATTATCCCTTTAGCCAAAAAAAGCATTAGAAAGTTTTCTCAACAAGTTTAGATGAGCTTGGGTGTTTTAGAGATTGTTTGATTTTTTTTTTTTTTGTCTGGTGACTTTTTATTTTATATGCTTTGAACATTAGGGAGGCTAGTTGTATTGGCATGCAAATGATTTTACGTTGTTTTCTTCTGTACCGTCTGTTCTCATCGTTTGCATTACATACCCTTTTAATTGGTATAGTTAAGCTCTAAGCGAGCAAAATGAGCAGTTAATCAGGCCCAACCATTATTTTGTAGGCCCCAAAAAATTTCAAGCTTACATGCATGCAGGTGAAAGAAAAAACCTTTGTAACCCAAATTTTATAGTTTTAAGTTTTCTAGCGCAGAGAAAACAATTATTATTACAAAACTATAATCGATTTTTCTTCGTCTTCGGCACAACACGCAACTTCCTTTCCCAAGTCTTTTAATTTGTTCTATTTTTTAAAAAAAATTACAAAAGTAATCAATGAAATATGACAAAAGTAATCAATGAAATATGAATAAACAATTAACAGAACATATATTCAATGTGCACAGTGCACCTAATCATATAAAAACAGACTATCCTAATAATAAATTAATCATATTAAACATGTGACACAAGTCTATTCGTTACGATCAACGACCAACACCGAAATTCTATTGGGAATAAAAAAAAAAAAGTAAACATAAGGTGACCAATAATAGGCACGTTGCTGGAGCCAACTACGCGTTCTCACTGTCCATAAATAATTATCTGCCAACACATCTCGACTATTCCCATCTTCGTAAACTGTAAAGAATGCAAAACTTTTGTACCAATTAGAAGAAAATACGTGTGGGAAGCAAATGTTCAAAAAAAAAAAAAATGGGGGAAGCAAATGTTAAAAAACAAAAAATGTGTGGGAAAGGGGGGAAAAAGTGTTTCTTGGAGTATTTTGTTCGTCAACAGATATATTCTTACTATTAATTAGATAGTCAGTTTAAAAATTAATTAAAGGGCTTGCTGTAGAATCTGTACACAATTAATTTTTTTAAAGCACTAAACTTTTTTCAATCATGCTTTACATAATTTTTAAAAAATTATAGATTTTTCTTTCTTTTTTTTTAATTTTTTTTTGCTCTACAAAGCAAAATATGTAAAGCATTAATAATTTGGCTTTGAAAAAATAAAAATCTACAGCACTAAAATCTACAGAATTAAAATCTACAATCACAGCAAACAAACTTACAGCTTTATTTCTATAACAAAAAAACTAAAGCTACAGCAATAACCAATCAAACCCAAAGAAATAAAACATATAAAAGTTGTAAGCATATCCTACTAAATTAATCCATAAGGTAAGACTTTGCAGTTTAAGGACATTACATTTTCTAAAAATCTTATCCAATTTAAAATTTTATTTACCAAAATTTGTATACTTCCATGCATTATTTATATTTGGATTTCTTTGTTTTTTTTTTGAATATTATTTAGATGTAAATTATATAAATAACATAATTATAGTAGCTGGAATTATTTTATTACAGAAATCTTATTTTTATGATTTATTTGGTTTTCTTTGATTTTAGTTTTTATACATTAACTATAAAAGATAAGATGTTACAATATAGAAAGTTAAAGCTAATTGTGACAAAAAAAGAAGAAATTTAAATCAATTTGGTGAAACACAGAAACAATATTTTTTGTTTAATGTCTACTAGAACATGTGTGAACATATGTATTTCAATATGGATGATTTAGACTATGGGACATTTCTTACGTGTTTTTCTTTTTTTTTGGGCCAATTCTTACGTGTTTTTCTTAAGAAAACAAAAAGATACTTTGTTGTAACTGTAACAATTTTATAAACCCAAAAGTGTCTTTGAGTGGACGGACTTACAAATCGTGGATAAATTGCTGTCAATGCATGCATGCTAATATTTTTCTAAAAGGGTAATCAATAATTCCGACTTCACTAAACCAGAAACAAAAAGCCTAACCAAATCCCAAAATTGAGGTGAAATTAGAAGCTCAATTAAGAACCAGACACAACATGTAACTCTCTGATTCGAATCCATCTCCGAACCAAAATATTTCGGAGAAAAAAACGTCAACTTCCCACAAAAGCGTTTTAGTTTAATAAAAAAAAACTCCAAATGTAATAGGTTCCAAAAAAGTGCCTATGGGTTTAACAAACCCAATGAAAATAAAAAACTCTATCATAAACTCTATCGTAAAAAATAGACTTATGAGAGATATGACAAAACTAATCAACAAAAGATGGGCTTGTCCGAGACAGGCTTCTTGCTGATTTCTCTGGGCTTCTCCAAATCGCTTTTCTTCACCGTAACCAACAAGTTATCGCCGTCAGCTTCACTCTTGACCTCTCCTAGTGAAATCTTTTGGATCACTCGCGAAGGAAGCTCATCGAGCTCACGCATCACAGTCTCAATATCGAGCACAAGTCTCTCTGCGAGTGTTCTTGAGAAGTCTTCTCTGATAACCACACGGAGTACAGTTATGTGTTGTGCGTCTGGGGGCATTGTATATGCCGGCACAATCCATCCATACCTACATTTCAAAGGAGTTAATCATAGATTCCTCGAACGTATATCTTAATTACTACTTGTATTGTATCTTTATGACAACTAACCTACGAAGCATGTGGGAGATTTCGAACTCAGTGTGAGAACTGTTGTCTTTTAACGAGAAAGCAACAAGTGGCACTCCCTCGTCTTTTGATACGATATCGAATCTTCCTGACTTCTCAAGTCCTTCCCTTAGCACGATCATATTCTCCCTGCAATTCTCCATCACGTTTCTGTAACCCTGTTTGATACAAATTTGTAATATTGTTAAGTAGTGTTTAATTAATTAGTATAGTATTTATTTAAGATATAATCGTGGATCCACTCACCTCATGGCCCAATCGGATAAGTTGGTAGTATTGAGCTATGACCTGACTCGAACCTGCGTTTATTGACAAAACAAAGATGAGAGAGTGAATTCTGGAATAAGATACTAATAATAACAAAGAATGTGCTACATTATATAACGACTATATTATATATGTGTGATTTAACTAAGTAGATTACCTTTGGAGAAATTGAGGGTGAACGTGGGTTGGTCAGCACCAAGATAATTGATGTGGAAGATGAGTTCCTCAGGCAAATCCTCTTTGTTTCTCCAAACCACCCAACCAATCCCTGCGTACACAAGTCCATACTTGTGTCCACTCACATTTATACTCTTCACCAAAGGCAATCTAAAGTCCCATTCCAATTCCGGATACAGAAACGGTGCAATGAATCCTCCACTTGCTGCATCCACATGGATCGGTGTATCCCATCTATCAAAAAATATGCACATATATATCTTAGTTGTCTTGATTAGTGTAAACAATCCATTGATAGTGGTGTGTATAAGGATAATTATTTAATTACCCAGTTTCTTTGTTCTTTTGGACCAAGAGATCGTTCAAGAGTTTAACATCTTCGAATTCTCCATTGAGTGTGGAACCAAGAATGGCCGCAACACATATAGTGTTCTCATCGACCATCTCAACAGCTTGCTCCGGGTCCATCACGTAATATCCTTCACGAAGTTTCACTTCCTTAAGCTCAACGTCAAAGTACCTTGCGAATTTCTCCCAGCACACCTAACATTTTGATTCGTTATAAGAATTTGACCAAAAAGCACAAATTATTTATTTATAGTTATTAGACTTTAGTTACTTGAACATTGGCTCCGGTGACAATGTTGGGTTTGTCGAAGGGTTTGCCTTCGGCTTTACGCTTGTTCTGCCATTTACGTTTGAAGGCCAAACCGGCCAACATTATGGCCTCCGATGATCCAACGGTTCCTACTCCGACGGCTGTCTCCGTCTCTCCAAGCGGTGCATTGAATAGATGTGCAATCATGTTCACACATCGGTTCTGTAATTCAGCATGAGATCATGTAAGTCTAATTATAACGTAACTTCGATCAAATAGTTGACAAAATAAATTACGATTTAA